TTTTTTCCACAACATAAATGGTGACTATACACGTGGACTATATAAGTGGACCTCACCGGAAACACAGGAATCAAAATGACTACATCTGTGGGAAGAGATGATGGAAAAGCTCAATATCAACAGTCAGAAGAAGGCCAGGGGCCGACTGCGGAACAGATCATCAACTGCTCTATGCAAGTTTAAGTTGAAGCTGAAGAAAATTAAAACAAGTCCACAAGAGCAAAAATACGACTTTGAGTATGTATCACCTGAATTTGAAGGCCATCTCAAGAACAGATTTGACTCACTGAACACTAATGACTGAAGACCAGATGAGTTGTGCGAAGACATTAAGGACATCATACATGAAGAAAGCAAAAGATCATTAAGAAGACAAGAAACAAAAGAGCAAAATGGATGTCAGAAGAGACTGTGAAACTTGCACTGGAATACAGAATCGCTAAAGTGAATGGAAGAAATGATGAAGTAAAAGAGATGAACAGAAGATTTCAAAGGGCAGCTTGAGAAGACAAAGTAAAATACTATAATGAAACGTGCAAAGACTTGGAATTAGAAAACCAAAAGGGAAAAATGTGCTCAGCATTTCTCAAGCTTAAAGAATTGAAGAAAAAATTCAAGCCTCGAGTTGCAATTTTGAAGGATTCTACGGGCAAAATATTGAATGACGCAGGAAGCATCAGAAGTAGATGGAAGGAATACACAGTCACTGTACCAAAAAAAGTTGGTTAACGTTCAACTATTTCAGGAGGTCACATATGATCAAGAACTGATGATACTGAAGGAAGAAGTCCAAGCACAGAAGACACTGGTGAAAAACAAGGCTCCAGGAATGGGCGGAATACCAAGTGAGATGTTTCAATAAAGGGATGCAGTGCTGGAGATGCTCACTTGTCTATGGCAAGAAATTTGGAAGACAGCTACCAGGTCAACCGACTGGAAGAGATCCACATTTGTGCCCCTTCCAAAGAAAGGTGATCCAACTGAATGCGGAAATTATCAAACAACATTATTAATATCACATGCAAGTAAAATTTTGCTGAAGACCAGTCACAAACAGTTGCAGTAGTTCATCAACAGGGAGTTGGCAGAAGTTCAGGCCAGTTTCAGAAGAGGACATGGAATGAAGGGTATCACTGCTGATGTCAGATGCGTCTTGGCTGAAAGCAGAGTATACCAGAAAGATGTTTACCTGTGTTTCTCTGACTACACAAAAGCATTCAACTGTGTGGATTATAACTAATTATGGATAACACTGCAAAGAATGGGAATTCCAGAACACTTAATTGTGCTCATGAGGAACCTGTACATAGACCAAGAGGCAGTCATTCGAGCAGAGCAAGGGGAAAATACACTGTTTAAAATCAAGAAAAATGTGCATCAGGGTTGCATCCTTTCACCATACCTATTCAATCTGTAGGTTGAGCAAATAATCGGAGAAGCTGGACTACATGAAGAAGAACGTGGCATCAGGACTGGTGGAAGACTCATTAACAACCTGCGATATGCAGATGACACAACCTTGCCTGCTGAAAGCAAAGAGGGCTGGAAGCACTTACCAATGAAGATCAAAGACTACAGCCTTCAGTATGGATTACACCTCAACATAAAGAAAACAAAAGTCCTCAAAACTGGACCAATAAACATCACCATGATAAACGGAGAAAAGACTGAAGTTGTCCAGGATTTCATTTTACCTGGATCCACACTCAGCGCTCATGGAAACAGCAGTCAAGAAATCAAATGACGTACGACATTGGGCAAATCTGCTGTAAAAGAGGTCTTTCAAGTGTTCAAACACAAAGATGTCACTTTGAGGACTAAGGTGCACCTGGCCCAAGCCATGATATTTTCAGTAACCTCATATGCATGTGAAAGCTGGACAATGAATAAGGAAGACTGAGGAAGAATTGACATGTTTGAATTATGGTGTTGGCAAAGAATATTGAATACACCATGGACTGCCAGAAGAATGAGTAAGTCTGTCTTGGAAGAAATACATTCAGAGTGTTTCTTGGAAGTGAGGATGGCGAGACTATGTCTCACATACTTTGGACATGTTATCAGGAGGGACCAGTCCCTGGAGAAGGACATCATGCTTGGTAGAGGGTCAGTGTAAAAGAGGAAGAACCTCTCAACAAGATGGATTGACACAGTGGCTGCAACAATGGGCTCAAGCATAACGACGACTGTGAGGATGGCATGGGAGCAGGCAGTGTTTTGTTCTGTTGTCCACAGGGTTGCTGTGAGTCGGAACCAACTTGATAGCGTCTAACAACAACTCCATTACCACTTCACCATCTGCTTTCCAACTTCTAAAATGTCGCTGCTGTTGTCTCCTCTGTTACCCTCATTCTTTATAGGTTTATGGTTTTAAAAAGACTCCTTTATCACAGTCGTAGTGGGGTTTCAGGAGGCAGCAAAAATCTGTCACCCTAACCTGAAACCCATACAACCATTTTAACGAGAGGATTTTCAATTTGGTGATGCCTTCAGAAACTAGGGCTTCAGTACTGGGGCTTCAAACCGGTTTGGTCCTCTTTGAACCCCTGCTTAAAATTTGCATTTCTAACAAGTTCCCAGGAAGTTATACGTAAGAATCACCTGGGGATCTTGTCAAATTGTAAAGTCTGACTCAGTATATCCGAGGTGGAAATGTAAATTCTCAGCAGGGGTTCAAATTAGAACCAGTTAGAAGCTCTGGTTGGTACAATTAACCAGCAGCATGTTAATTATCTCGTAAGAAGAAGAGAAAGAGAAAAGAAGCCGTATCTTCTCTGGTTAATTTTAGGCTTTTAATAAAAAGTATACTCGGCTAAGCCAAAGAACCAAAGCAGTTGCCGTGGCAACCCCACGTGTGTCAGAGTAGAACTGTGTTCCACGGGATTTTCAATGGGTGTGACCCTGAATAGCAAAGTGCCTCAGTACAGACACGTAGACTGTAAAGGTTTGCACTACAGATCGCAAACTGCAGCGATGGAAAGCACAACCCTTCACTGGCTACTCCCAGACAACAGAGCTCTTCCAACGTGACAGTGTGCTTCTCTCCTGCCGCTTCTTACTGTGATCAACACTGGCACTCACCGCCCCCACCGCTGTTTCTAGAAACGACTGTTAGTACATTCACTGTTGCCTCTGTTTACATCAAAAGCCTCTCTCCTTCTGTTATTTGCTTTTTTCACTTCTTTAACTATTTTTCCTTTCCTTGACATTTTTCAGTTTTGATAGGAGAAGGATTTGGCTTCTTTCTCTTCTAGAAGGCAAGCCTATCAATGATATGCAGTGTGTGTAATCGTTCCTTTGTCTTTTCATTTAACAGCTACGTAACTGAGTGCCTATCATCAGCCAGGCTCTACTCTAGGCATTGGAGGTACAACAGTGAACAGAACAAAGTCCCTGCCCTCACACGGCTTGTATTGTCGGGGTGTGACAGATAACAAGCAGATACGTCACGTGGAATTGGGCATTATGGAGAAAAATAAGGAGGCGAGGTGTGGAGAGGGTCAGGGTGGGGTGGGCACATGTTAGTTACATAAGGTAATCAGAGAAACCTTAAGAAGTGACATTTGAAAGAGACACAAGGGAGAAGCCCTATGGATGTTTGTGGCATGAGCATCCCAAGGAAGCAGCAAGCGCGAGGCCCAAAGGAGGACGAACCTGGCCTGCTGAAGAGGCAGCAGAGATCAGGGGGCTGCAGCAAAATAAGCTCTGTTTCTCTCTGAGTGTTTGCTGCTTTTGCCATGGTTTACTCTTCACAAGATTTTACTAGAATCTTTCAGAGTGTAACAGATTCAGACGCTAACTTATCTGAAAGGCTGAGATTGTTTAAAGTCTAGTGGATCAGTGGGAATGTTATTGAATAAGGTAATATTTTGCTAAAATAAGCATTCTGGCTGAACACAGGCTTGTAAACAATCTAGACTACAGATACATTGCCTCATCTGGGGACACAGAGGGTCGTATGGTGATGAGATTGGAGAACCAGCTCTTGATTTGTTCCGGGTTCTACACCTACTTGCTAGAATGGTCTTGAGTCAGAGTTCTAGGTGTTAGTACACATACACTCTTTTATGCTTTCATTCGAATTTTAAAATGTAAATGTAGCATAGTGGTTACAGGAAAGAAATCCCAAGTTTAACACCTTTGCTGCCACTTACTAAATGTGTGGTCTTAAGCAAGTCACTGAAAAGCCTCAGTTTCCTTCTCTGTAAAAGGAAGATAAAAATATCTACTTCAGGACATAATAAAGATTAAATGACATAACTGCATGGGAAAGCAATTTGTATACTACAAAATATCACGTTAAAGATACATATTGTTAACTACTCAGAGAGCTTTCAAATTTATATGTTACTCAGATTTACTTAGGTTTGTCATCTAAGTGCTTTCAAAATTTATTTAATTTTACATTTTGATCTACCCATTCATTTGCACGTAAGGTTGCGGACAAAGTTTAGCCTTCTAAGTTAGCCTCCCATTTTAGCCTATGATACATTTTCCAAATTAACTCTTTATCTTTTTAATTACACAGCAAAATTCAATAGGTATGAACAACTCAACTTGAAATCTTCAAAAAGGATCGAAATGCAGATCTTCATCTTAACTTTATTAATTGACCATTTTGCAATAGAAAATATGGGCACTTGGAGAAAGCGATCTCAAGGGTAAGTAAGCAACAATCATTTTGTATGCTTCAACAACTGTTAGACTCTCAGTGTTGTTGTTGTTGGTTTTTTTTTTTTTTTGGTCTATTTTTGTTTTCTGAAACTTTATTGCTTAGCTAAATCATTACATACTAGACATAAATTTCCAGTCACATACTTAATCATCAAATACTTGATATGTTTTGAAGACAGTACTAGAGGGAGGCAGTTTTATTTCTTAATATCATATTGCTGTAGTCATTAAAGTGTCTGTATGTTGCTGGACAGCTCAATTTGAAATGCAATCCAAAAGAACAATCCAGAAGTAATTTACGAAAGACGGAACAGAACGGAACTTACTCCATGCCCTGTGCAGTCTGCCGTGCAATGTCTATGAGTTTGATCATCTCAAATTTGGTCTCAATGATGTGGAGATGGTGATATAAGCTGGAGCCCTCACACCACTGGGTGACAATAGCCAGCTGTGGCTTTGTTGAATAGCCCATAAAGAGTAGGATATTCACGTGTCGTGTTTTCCTGCAAAAAGAAAGGTGACTGTAAATAGGAAAAGTCGACAAACTTCAACCAAAGTTTTTAAAAAAGAGGGCCAAGGCAGTCTACCTGTCAGCAAGGTGTTGTCAAAAAAAGGTATAATAAAGAAAAAAAAGCATAAATTTAGAAGAGACTTTCAGAAACTGTCTAGTCTAATCTCCCACTGGATGAAGAAATAGCTGTTTGCACACACCTGACAAACAGGCACGCAGAAGCTGCTTAAATACCTGCAGTCACGGGAAGCACACCACTGAGAAGGCAGCACTCCCCCTCCCCTTTCTGAAATGGCTCTAGTATTTAGAACGTTTTCTTGGGCTGAGACAAAAGCATTTTCCTACAACTTTCACCACTGGCTTCCCTGTTCTGTCGTCTGGAATAAAATAAGAGTGAGTCTGCATGTTCTTGAATATAACAGCCTTCCTTTTTCTTTTTAAAATAATTTATTTTGTTGTTGTTGTTGCTGAAAATGTACAGAGAAGAACATACACCAATTCAACAACTTCTCCAGGTACAGTTCATGACACTGATTACACTCTTCAAGCTATGCAGCCATTCTCACCCTCCTTTTCCAAATTGTTTCTCCCCCATTAACATAACTTCACTGTCCCCTAAAATTCCTATCTAATCTGGAGTAGCTGTTGTCCATTTAATCCTATAAAGGCAGTTCTTTAAAAGAACACAATGCTCAAGGCAGACATTCTTTACTAATTAAGCTAACCATTGTTCCGTTTAACGAAGACTTCAGGAGATATTTTTGGTTTAAGGTTGAAAGATTATCTCAGGGCAGTAGTTTCAGGGGATTCATCTAGCCTCAACGGCTTCAGAAAGTCTGGATTCCACGAGAATTTTAAAGCCTGCCTACCAGCCTTTTCTGGACTGAATACCCCAGTCTGTCAACTTCCTTCCCTCTAAGTCATGTCTCTAGAATCCTCCCCATCAAGGTTGCCCTGCCCGGGACATGCTCTAGTTTCTTCCTCAAGTTCCAGGGCTAAATACAGTCTCTAGATGTGTCCTGGTAAGCTTTTATTTTGAGATCACTAGACTTTTGAGAGTATTATTTATACAAGAGGAACTATTATTTCTCATGACCGGAATACATTTCCATTAATTCAGTTCAAGATTAGGTCTTTTAACAGCTGAACCATATAATAATGCAGACTAACTTAAAAGACTAGAAGTAAGACAAAAGGTACTCAGACAGGCTCTGTTTCTAGGTATTTACCCATTGTGAGTCAAGCTAATAGTGGCTGCCACTGGAAAACTCAGCGAAAACTACTTCTTTCTCTGAACACAGTAACTCACACAAGCTCACCTGAGTACTCCTACTTCATTTTTGAAGGCCTGTAACTGCTGAGGTGTGGGTGCTGTCACATTCAACATTTTCACTGCCACATCACCTAGAAGGGAATTGTCATTTCAACTGTCATTCCAATTATTTTACATTTAAAAATATAAAAAATTCTTGGGTATTTTATGATAACCCTAAATCCACACTATTATTAAATTGCAAATAAAGCTAATCTTGTTCTTCCCCTGGAAGTTTAACCAATTAAGCACCAGTACCCTGGTTATTTAACAATATTGAATCAGATGCATTTACTAAGTGAACGTTGAAACTACAGACGACAGACCCAATGGCACATGGCTTAAAATAGAAAACTGCAAAACTTCTATAACACAAAAGTTTACATTTTTTTAGTCCATGGATCACTTATGGAACTTTGTTTAGGAAAATGATTAAAACTGTAACAATAATTTAAAAAACAAAAAAACAAAAAAAAAGCTGCCAGTGGGTGTGTACACTGGTATGACCACTTTGTAAAATGTTGGCAGCATCCCTTAACACTGCACGCGTGCATACCCTACAGCCTCACGTTTCTCTCCTGCGCACAGACCCCACAAAAATGGCTATGTATATTCACCAAAGGACATGTACGAGAATATTCACAGCAGCACTATTTGTGATAGCCCCAAACTAGAAACTATCCAGATGCTTATCAGAGAGGAGGATGGAAAAAGACATCATGTTGTGGGCGTACAATGGAACGTAAGACAGCCCTGAGAACGAATAATCTACAACTACACTCCACAATATAGAACATCTTATAAACACAATTGAGGGAAACAGGCCAGACACGAAGAGTGTGCCCTGTCTGATTCCTGCTAGGGTAGGACAGTGGTTACCCAGGGGGAGGGAAGAGGGCTGGCTGAGAGAGGGTACGAGGGGGCTTCCGGAGTGCTGGTAATGCTCTGTTTATGGATCCCAGACATGTTCACTGCGTGAGACTTCTAGCTACTTGTATGCTCATGATATGTGTGCTTTTTTGGTATGTACTTTACACTTCAAGAAAAAGTTAAATAAATGTATTGATTATTCCTGATTATCAAAGTAACACAGTACTCACTGTAAAAATTTCAAGAAAAAAATTAAAATTCCCCACAGCCATGTCATGCAGAGATGTCCACTGTTAACATATTCATGTACATCCTCCTAGGCTTTTATATGTAAGCACTGTGAATATTTATGAGTACAAATAAAATAACCTAAAAGGATATTTACTAAAATATTGATAGTCATTTTCCTTGTTATATATATATATATATATTTCTAGGTAGCACCATAATATGGGATGTTATATAAGCTGCTTTGTAAAATTCAATTTAATATACCCTATACACCTCCCATATCAATAAGCATAGATCTATCATATAAGTTAAACGCCTATATAATCATATATGGAAGTATCAACTTCTATAATCCTCCATCAATGGGCATTTATTTCCATTTTCCATTATTATTAACTCTGTGATAAATCCACTTGCACACACATCTATTCGCTGCCATCCAATTCTGTCTTCAGCAGAAAGCCCATAAGTGGAACTGTTGGTTCGAAGGTGATGCATTCTTAAAGACTGTTAATATATATTGCCAAACTGCCCACTAGAAAATTTATTTTCCCATCAGCAGAATTACAATCTAACTCATGGGTTTTTAAAAATCTTTGAGAGACAAATAATGATCTCTATTGTTTTAATCTGCACTTCTTTGATAACTAGTGAGGCTGAACATTTTTTATAGGCCACTAGCCACTTCCACATCCTCCTCTGGTTAAGTGCACTTTTAATACGTTTACTTGTGGTTTATAATACAAATACCATTATGAGCAGAAAGACTTTTAAAAGAAAAGAACAAAATCATCTGAGACTCGCTCACCTGGAGGCTCTTTGCTTCTAAGCCTACCACTACAACTGGGGGGCATCACCAAGCTGCACACATACCATGCCACTTGCCCTTGTAGACGGTTCCAAACGACCCGGATCCGATTCTCTGTCCAACTGTGATCTGTCCATCGGGAATCTCCCAGTCGTCACTTGAATCTCGCCGACCAAGTGTTTTCTTGATAAAAGCAGGGCAAAGGTCAAACCAAATCAAACAAAATGGGAAAATCTTATATTCCATACTAAGTGATTCCCTTATGTCTGAGAGGGACACAGTTAGGAAGCAAATCAGATCTATTTTTTAAAAACACCCTCTGGAGGACTAACAGTTAAAAGTATGACTCTTAAAATATACAAAACGTAAAGACCTAAGTCAGTATTAGGATAGAAACAATTTATTAAAAAATAGAAATCATTACTGGGTATAAGCAGAAATGTGTATGACTAAAATCAATAAAACAGCTTTTTATCATTTGGAGCCTTCGACAGGCAAGATAAGTAGTACACATTTATAATTAGTTTTGGGTCCAAATCCCCCCAAATTTAAATCGACATCCTATGGTAACTGCTGAGAATTTTGCTAATTACTCTCCCCCTCAGTCAGTGCTAAATATTCTCATCTATCTTATCTGATCCACTCTCTCAAGAAAAAAAAAATCAACATATACAATCACTTTGGATCCACCTAGACAATATACATTGCTGCTAGAATGAAATTATTAGTTTTTAAATACAGACTCATTTTGTGTCAGAAAGTTCGTTTTTTAATAGGGAACAATATCATTTTGTAGATATTTGAATTTTAGGCCAACCCTTTAGGATGTATATGCTTAAACATTCTTCCTAAATACCAAGTTACTCTCTTTTTCCTTATTTTAGAAGTAGAACGCTATTCTTACTCTTCCAAAACTGCCTTTTTTCTCAATTAGAGAAAAGGGTAAGTATGAGTGTTGTGGGAATATGCTCTGAGCAAAAAACCATCAGCTCTTGAACTTACCTGATTATAGGAATTCCGTGTCACATGGATTATCAATGTATCTAAAACCACACCACAGACGTTCCATTTGGCTATGACTTCTACAAAGAGAGAACTCAGAGGAAAACCGATGTCACACAGGCTTACCATTCGATTCCTGTCTTCTGAGGATGACGAGGATTTCCTTTCCCGCTGAGGTCCAGGAGATTTCTGTAAGGCTTTCACGTTAGTGAGGGAGCCAGGGAGCGATGCGGGAGGGGTGGCCGACAAACCTGTGGTTGATCCTAAGTTGGCAGAAGGGAAAAGGCACCGTTAAAGGAGGATCACGCGCGTTAATTTATCTGGGGCAGGGACAGGGCAGATTTAGACTTGGTATTTAAAAATGGAGCGCATGTTCAATATAGATTTTTGGAAAGGACAGGCCAAAAAGGGGCCTCATTGGTGATTAATACTATAATTTCTTTCAATTTTCTGGCAAATTTAAGATCTAAACATCTGATTGTAGATACACACTTTATTGGTACAGGGTCTAGAAGACAAAAAACTTCTGTAAAGTAAGAAACAAACGCTAGCAACAACTCCCACGTGGAGTCTGGGACTCCCATCTACGAACGGAGCACAGCTTGTCTTGTGCTGAGCGCGGGTCATCTCCACATTAGAAAGCCTTAGCTCTTGGCCAGGCTTCACTGTCTAAGACGCACTCAGTTGAACTACATTGCTCAGTACCTACGACTTCCATTCCATTCTATGGATTTTCCAAGATTGCTGAGGAGCATAACCACTACATTCAGAATAACTAGCAACAGTTAGTAAATATAACTCTTTACAAGTATTTACAGCAAGACACCCGTCCCAATTTTCATTTAGATTTTAAAAAATCAGTTAAACCACTAGTTAAACTCTGGCAAGATGAAATGGGGGAGTGAAATCATACTACCTTTTTCCCCATAGAGCATAAACGAAGGTATGAATTCTCAGGTTTTTCTGAGACAGGCTAAATACTCAAACATACATTATAAATATTTTTTACAGCTCCCTACTTTTGACACAATATAAAATATACCTGTACCACAGTACAAAAAAATGAATACTGCTGATATTAGAGAATCTCAAAAAAAGCCACAAGCCCAGCAAAATCTCATATAATAGAGATTTCCATTTCTACTTTTATTTTCTTATAAACCACAAAGATTGATTATAACAAGTATTAATACTCATCAAGGTAATTACCTAACATGAAAGGAATTCAGATTGAAGACCCCCACCTTATTTATTCCCACCCACTGAATCTGGAGTTATTAAGACCAAGACGTAAGTAATATAATTAAAAAAAAAGATGGCGCTCTGAACTGAGAACCTCTTTGCTCTGACAGTTCGTGATGGATGGCACACAGAAGCTTGTGGGGTGAGTTATGTGGAGAAGCACATTCAGAGCATCCCAGCAAGGCCAAGCAGAAGTTCAGCACCACGAACTCTCACACTTACAAACACACACTGTGAGGGTGAAGCACAAATAGCGTCTGTGGTTCATATTTAATTTGCTTTGGGTGAAAATAAGAAAGAAGAGCCCAACTACCTCTGAACACTGGGCCAGGCTCAAAATCAAACACTATTTCACTGGGGACAGAATGGAGGAGGGGACTGGGAGTCCGGGATTGGTATTTCCGAAGACAGCGCGTCAGCTGGTTCAAAGGGGCTGTTAGAAGAGAAAGAGAGGGGCAGGCAAACACAGGAAGACAGACACACAGAAGAAATGAAAGAAGTCATGGGGATAAATAAAATGACTTGAAGCCTGCTTAACAAAATAATTCTGGGTGTTTAAAAAAAATCTGATTATTTTTACAAAATCCCAATGATTTTTAAAAAGTGATTCATGAAAAGGACAAGAAATGTCACTTGATTTTAAGTACTAAGCAGGCAGTTTTTATGACTAAGTTAACTTCGTGACCCCAACATGATGGCAGCATTCAAGTGCTGGATGTACTGGGCAAAATTACCAAAAGCCACAGCTATTAAGACACACGAAGATCATACTGGCAACAACATTAACTGGCGGGTTCGTGGAGTAACAAACAGAAACAACAGCAACAAAAACTCGTACAGCTACGTGGTACAATAAACACCAAGCCCAGAGGGGACAGTGTAGGGGTCAACCTGGTAGCTTCGCAGGTGTACAGAAACAGAACACGAGATGGTCTACGCAATGTTTTTTTGAATATAACATAATCTGAGTCTAGGCTTAGATATTTTCAAGATAAAGCAGGTCCCAGTGAAGAGACCAGCTGGGAGCAAGATAAGCAGTCACGACAGGCTTTCCCTACTCAGAGTGAGTATGGGGGAAAGATATTCTCAAATACCATCTCTTGGAAAACAGTGTATGGGATATTCTTATAAGAAGTATTTCTTAAGCAATGCTTATGCTCCTAATTTTCAGTGGGTGCTAGAGCGAATACCTGATGAAAATTCTGCAAAAAATCTCCATTCGTTTGCTTTTTTTTTTTTTTTTTAAATTGGACTAGTAAGAGGGCAAGGGGCTATTCTATTTAGGGGTCCATTCTATCAAATGTTCATTTCATACTCTTCTAGAAGCCTGAAGGGAAGGGGCTGACACTGTCCGACCAACTGAGAAGCTGTGACAGACAATCCAACTCAAGGGACTCCTCCCTCTTAGCATGATTGGGGAAAGTGAGCTTTACCTAACTCTAAGCTCCATCTTTAAACATTAGTGGACGCTCCCAAAGGAAATTTAGCCACTCCAGCTTTGAAGATGGCTGGGACTTAATAAAGTGGGTAGAATAATTAAGGATCTCCCCTTGGTAAAATATTTTTAAACTGCAGAGAGTACATTTAAGGCTCCATTTTTTATGTCCCCTCGTCTTCTCTACTCGTGTTATAAATTAGTGAAAATTTTATTAGAGATAAATGATAAATATTAAAGAAAAACGAAAAAATTTGGGTTTTCTCTACACATTTTTCTCTGTGTCTGTGTTTCGTGAAAGAAGCAAGTATAAAGGCAACAAGCAGCAAAGCCATTGCATTTTTCCCTGAGTTTTTTTGTTGAACTGAAATCACTACTTACCTCCATCACCACGAAACCCCTGGTTTCTAATCAAGTCCTACAAATAAACAATAATGTATATTTATTCAAAGCATATGGTAAGAAAGTAATAACAGCACTGAATTTTCCACTAAGAAAAGGCTAATTCAGTCATTAACAGAAAGGCAAATTCAAAATAAGATTTGTCTTACAATGATTTCACAAAACTAAAGACTATGAAATTAGCTAGTAAACATAATTAAAACCTAAACTTTGAAGCACTTGCCACCCTGACCGTATGCTGAAGGGGTGATTAGTTCTGATCAAATATTGCAATTCATTTCAGGCCATTCAAAACCAATGGCTGCATCCATTCTTTACAAGAAATTCTACTGGTACATATTAAGACCCATAAAAATGTTCATACCCTTTGATCCTGTAATTCCACTTCTGGCAATTTTCCCTAAGGAAATAATTCGTAAGGAAAAATGACATGCACAAAGGTGTTCCGTGCAGCACTGCCCACAACACTAAAAGATGAGAAAGAATTATCTCCCTCTTATAGGCATACTGGTCGAGTAAATTACAGTATCTCGATTTCATGAAGTGTTATGCAGCTACTAAAAACAATTAGGAAGCTTGGATGATGAAACATGTTTATAATATAATAAAAAAACAAAATACAAAATGAAATGTACACTGATTACAATCATAAAAAATGGACGCATAAGATACACTCGAGGGGGGAAACCAGTTTAACTAAAATATGAGAGATTGAATGGCCCCAAATGTTTCTAAATAGGTTCTTTGTAAATGGCTAAACAAAGCCAAAGAAAATTCCTTCCAATGTATTATATAAAACTTGCAATATTTTCTATACAACAATGAACAAATATTCATTGTATATCTGCAAACAAGGTGCTAGGTGCTAGGGGCTGGGTGTTACCAAAAAAAATTAAAAATACTGGTGGTCCCACTTACTCGGTTCTTGAGAGTTTATAATCTAATTGCAGGTAAGATGTACACACAGTTAAAGTTAAAATGAGAATAACAGCTTAAGAAAATAACAAAGGGATGCCAAAGGTTGTTGCTTAGTTAACTGCCAAGTAAGTGGTATGAGTGGTAAGTTTCTTAGAGCTACATAAGCTCAAAGGATGGATAAATAACTGAGTACAGGACTTGGTCACGAGAAGCATTTGACGAGATGGGCTATGACCTGGAGTTGAGGGATGGAAAGGAGTGTAGAAAGGACAAGCAGCGGGCCTTCTAGACAGAAAGCGAAAGGAAGGCAGAAATGCCGTACCCCTTCCTTCTGCTGCACCAGACCTGCAACTCCCCACAACCATGGCTGAACCAAATTCTGCTTTCTGGCTTCTCCGACAACCGACTGCTAGCGCCACACTGAACTCATACCTTTCAGTCTCAAATGTGTTCCTACAGCTCCCTAGCCATCTTTTCTACTTGTCCCAGGTAACTAGGCTTCCACACGGGCTCTGCAAACCTCTCCCACTCTCCTGTAGTTATTTCTCTGAACATGACCCAGAAAACAGAAGCCATCAAAGAACTTTCTGTCCTCCTCCCGCACCTACAAACGCTTGCATAGTAATTGCTGTAATTTTGGAATTCTGATTATGTGGCAGGCATAACAAGCACTCTCCAGGTAGACACTAGTATCCTCTGGGGTGAGGAACTTGCCCAAGGCCACACGCCTGTGAAGAACTGCAGCACTAGCTCTGTCTTCAATTCCTATAGCCACTGACGGACACCACTGCCAAGGCCAAGGAACTTCACAACAACAATTACTCCCTCTCCTCCTGTCTTCAAACTGCTCCCTTCTTCAATCTCTCTCTTTGCTGGCTTCTTCTCAAGTTACAAATATGCTGAAGTCTCTCCATTAAACAATCTGCCCTCAACTCTGCATCAAGCTACTGCCCATTTGCCATTCCTCTACAGCCAAGCTTCTCAAAAGGACACCAAACCCCACTTCCTCACCTGCCCTCTCTCCTCCCCGAAGCCTCTAAAACAGCTGTCAGTGCCACTGAAGTTACATTTTAATTGCCAAATTCAACAGTCATCTTCAGTCCTTATCTCACATGATGTCAACGGCGACTGACACCAGCGACTTCAGCCTTCTTGAAGCCCTTTCCTCATCTGCCTTCTGCGGTCTCTCTCTCCTCTCCGTTACCTGGAAACAGGCTTGGGTCAAGGGGCCCACAGATGAGACAGAGAACAGCAGTCTGCCAGCACCTGTGTCCGCACTCACGGGGGTGCACTTTCATCCCCTTTTCAATGTACCCAGACTCTCTGACAGCATCACTCCACCCATAGCTCTACCCGACACCGTGCTGGTCACTCCTAAATCTGCCTCTCCAGCTCGGGTCTGCAGTCACCACGCCTGGACTACACCTGAGACCCCACGGGCAGCCTGAAGTCCACATGTCCACAGAAAGCCATCACGGCCGTGTCGACACCCTGCTCTTCCTGTGGTGTTTCCTACCTTAACGAATCTGGACGTTGCCTCCACCTCTCTCGCTCACCTCTCACTGCATAGGGCAGTGGTTGAGCATTAGAAAGAAAGGCCAGCTTTTAACTCCATTAGCGTGTGATCCCAGGCAAGTTTCTTCACCTCTCTAAATCTAATTTTCTTAACAGTAAAATAAAGATAATAATACTACTAAACCCACGGAATTTTTGTAAAGCTGGAATAAGAAAACTCATACCAAGCACTTTGCGTAGTATCTGGCACATAGTAACCATTCACAAATAGCAGCCCTTTTCAATATGACTTGTAACAACCTTACCTAGCAGACCTCTAACCTATAGTTTCCCTCCCCTAACAGCACACGCGCGTGCACACACATGCCTCCCACTCCCCCTGGCACCAGCGCTGTCACCTTGCCTAGACTACAGCAGAAGCCACATTACTGTCAGTCCTGCCTCTAGGCGGGGTTCCCGCGTGCTCCATTCTCTGTAACGACCAGAGATTTTCCTAAAACACAGAACTGATCACCTTCTCGTCCACTTAAAGTTCTCCAGACTTCCTACGACCTAGTTTAGAGACCTCGGAATAGTGCGCAGTGCCTTCGGTGTGGCCTCTGCCCACCGAGCTACACCTCCCACTGCTCCCCACTCTTCTCCTGTACTCTACTTACTGTATCAACTATTCATTACATCCCAGGTAAAGGTATTTCTATGCTTTTGCTCATACTATCTCCTTTGACAAATGCCCCTCCTTCTTAAGCCTGCCACCTACTCACCTTTTACAAGTTGGCTTAAACGCTGTCCCCACTGCTAAATATTCCAACCAGGTAGGGTTTATCACCCCCTCTCTGAACTACCACGGTATTTCTGTGATTGTCTGTACGTCTGAATTCAGCCACTAGACTGCGACTTCCATAATTCCCAATTGCCTGACACAGTGCCTAGCCCAGGGTCAATACGGTTTACTGGAATAATAAATGACTGTGCATGAATGAAAATGCTAAGGAGTTTACAGTTTATCTTAAGGTCAGTGGGAAGTCGCTGAAAGTTCTGGAGCGAGGGACTAGATGATGACAGAGGTGCTGTGAGAGAACCACCCTGATGGTGGCATAAGCAACGGAGATGCGACAGAGGGAAATCAACCGCAGGAAATCCATTTTTGGTGAGACTGGTTAGCACACAGTTTCAGGGAGGAAATACGGGCCCGGTGATGGTGGGGAGAAGTAAGAGACAAGTGTGAGATGCACACCAAAAGGAAAAGCCCATACCTACGGCTGCTAATTAAAAAAACCAAACCTGCTGCCGTCAAGTTGATTCCAACTCAGAGCGACCCTCAAGGAAACGGTAAAACTGCCCCATAGGGTTTCCAAGGAGTGCCTGGTGGATTCGAACTGCCGACCTTTTGGTTAGCAGCCCTATGCCACCAGGGTTTCCTGACTGGTTATGGGGAGGATAAAAAAGCAAGACAGAAAGCTGACACTCAAGATGTTAGACCGTAAGAGAATAGGAGAACAGTGGTAACAATAAGAGAAAAAGGGAAATAGTTTAAAGGTCTGTTACTTGTGAAAGTAAAGATGAAGGTTAGAATTTTGGACATACTGAGAACAGACTTAACCTGAAAATATGATTTCTTATTTCACAATCGCCTTATTCCCACATCTCCCTCTTCTACTGCTTTCTTATTCAGGTCTGGCTAGAGAGAGGGGGGCCTTATTAGCTCAGGAAAACTGGTAGGAGGAAGCCACTTAAAGTGAACCCAAAAAAGACAGAGAAAAAGTGGGAAGGAAGTCTGATTTGGGACATTATCTTGAAAGATGAAACTAAATTTTATAATAAAGTTTATTTTCTTTTACACTTAACAAAATTTAACTTACAATTTCAACTGTACACCAATTCCAGCACAAATACAGAAAGAATCAAGTTTTTGTTGGTCATAAGGACAAACTTATGATAGCACAAATCAAAATTCTTGATTTCATATTCATTTTTCCAGCACAGTTATAATCGTTTTAGTCAATGTTCTACACGACCCCTCAGACCCCTCAGGACCTCACAGACTCTTCTGGCTGTGAGACCACCTTCATCTGAAGAGCCCGCTGTTCGGCCATCCTCCTGGATTTTCTCTTCTATTGCTAACTCTGCTGTATCCTCTTCTCTCAATGGCTCTGTGTGATTTGAGTATTTCTCCAAAGTTGTTTTTCACTGGTTTCACATAAAACCGTTTTTTGGGTGGGATCAGATTTGTAATCAATGTGCATTATGTTTTCACTGAAATGTTGGGTACTGATGTAAAAGGGTTGGAATGCAAGCTGGTATTAAATAGGGAGGAGGGGTGTTTGAGTGGGGACGAGTATTAGTCTGCTCATTAATGAATATTTTCCTGTTATGACAATTTTTGCTTCTCTACTCAGTCTGATAATTGTAAGGACTCAAAAGGAATGCCTGTATAATGAGAATCACCCGTGACTTCCAACATACACATAACCACCTCACTAACTCCAGTATCCTGCTTACATGGGGAAAGAGTTTCAATTTCCTCTGTAAATATAATTACTTTCTAAGACAAGTAAACTTAATGGATTTTCTCAACTTTGTTGCCTACGGGAGACAAGAGACTAGGGATAACCGGCACTCTTTATTCTAAAGCACAGGTTTGGGCAGAAGTGACCCCTAATTCCAAGATTAGGACCCCAGCTCACCACAGCTCAGAAAGTAAGGGCACTCAGCTCTCTGTGAGCTGGACCAGTCCTTTTGGGTTGATCCTGTGAGTCTCATCTTTTTCACTCATCTCTTCCTTCTCTTTGTCTGTATCAAAGGTTGTCGAAAACCAGTGGCCTGGTCACCTGTTTTTGTAAAAGCTGTACTGGAACAAAGCCACGCCCCTTCCGTTCTTTCTGTGGTGTCTGGCTGCTTTCACATTACAATGGCAGAGCTGAAGAGTTGTGACAGTGACCATGTGGCCTGCACGCCTAAAATATTTACTATCTGGCCCTTTAAAAAGAAGTGTGCTGACCCCTGTTCTGTATTATGGGAAATTTCCTCGGCTTTATCTTCTAACCCTTTTACTGAAACAAGTAAATATTTGATGACCTAGTATGTGTTTGGAGTCCCTGGGTGGTGCAAATGGTTAATGTGCTTGACTGCTAATCAAAAGGCATCACAGAAGAAAGGCCTGGCAATCCTCCAGAAAAAAAAATTAGCCAGTGAAAACCCTATGGAGCCCAATTCTACTCGAATACATCTGGGGTCGCCGTAAGTTTGAATCACTCAACGGCAACTGGTTTGCTTTTTTATTTAGTATGTGTTTAGTTCTAAGCTAGGGAACTGTATTAGGAATGGTTTCTGCCATCCACGACTTAAGATCTAATTGACAGAGTGATACTAATTTACATAAATAAATCTAGAACAATACATAATTAAGTTACACTGTGCAAGACAAACTGGAAAAGTGAAAAAGAAAGTCAAGAACGATTAGTCAAAAGGGGGGCTAAAATAACTGAAGAGGTGAGGTTACAATGTATGATAGTGGGAACAGAGAAGATGAGATTTTAATTTTAAAGAAAGAATCAGTAAAACTTAATGACAAACTTCACACAAAAAGAAGAAAATGCCAAAACTGAAGACGTGTGTAGGGATGGAACACAATGATATACTCAAGACAGTAAAGACAGTAAAAGATGTTAAGAATGTGACAACCAGCCCGTAAGAGTTATTTAATTCAGTCAAAATTGTACTTTTAGGACATTTAGGTAAGGATTTTAAATAGTCTACAGGTAAATATGAAATCAGTGAGCATGCGCACTGTATACGTATTTTTTCTTTACTATGAAATGGCCAACTGGCTTGTCTGTTAACTATGAAGACAAGACTTTTATGGAGATGATGTCAAAAGGAAAAGCATCATAGTGACCCTAGAATTCGGGATCAGTTAAGTATCTGCTAGGAGCCCTGGTGGCTCCTCAGGAGAAAGATGTGGCAGTCTGCTTCCGTAAAGATTTACAGCCTTGGAAACTCTATGGGGCAGTTCTACTCTGTCCTATAGGGTTGCGATGAGTCGGAAGTGACTTGACAGCAACAGGTTTGGTTTTCAAGTACTTACTGCCATCAGAGAAGACTGACAAGGCTTTTCCGATCTGTGATCCATGAAAAGCCCATCACTTACAATAACTGCGGGAAGTGAAAGATGACACTTATCTCTGATCAATACCATAAATGTAGCAAAGAAATACGCTTGAGTTGTTTTAGGGCTAACAATGCTGGATACTTACATCAATATTGACAGGCTCTATTGTGTTTATATGCACATTGGGGGCTGATGAGGACCGGTCTCGCTGCCCAAATTGATTTCGATGATCTTCATCTGCTGGTCGGAAGGGCTGTGGAATTGGAATGGATTTTGAAGGAGACGGACTGGTGAGAATTGGGGGCCTGGAAAAATCAAGTCATTGGCAGATAAGATTCAGAGCAACTTCACAGAGACACTAACAGAAAAACTGGATGATATAAAGATTTCCTTGCTTTTATATTTTCAAATAAAATCTTTAAAAATTAAAGCATTAAAGATGTATTAATAGCCCAGGAGTAACGGTCTAAAAAAGTATTGGTTTAAAGACCTAATATATAGCTACAACCAATACTGACTAGGCTGCTGTGCTCAAGCAGCCCCTTCCGGGACCACGGTTGGTAAGAACACTGATTCTTATCCAGAAAGTCCCAGGGGAATCTACAAATGGCCATAAATTACCAGTGGTTAATCAGCTGAAGAAGCTCTGTCCTTCAAAGTTACACAAACATATTTCAGATAGAGAATGAATTAATTAAGTCTGCCTTTTTCTAACCTTTAGTACCTGAAGTTATTAAAATGAAAATCTTATGGAAAGTATTAGGAAATTAGAAATATTTTTGAGACTACACATGAGTATTTCAGGATCTGCAAGACGCACCTATTGCTTTACATCAGTGTTGAACGAAAACGCTGAAGTAGCTGGCAATAGCAAGAGACCATTTCCAGATTCAGAAGACATCTTATACTACCAATATTGCTCACATTTTGAAACTTTTACCATGCCCAGTTACTGATACCAGGGACACAGGAGACTCCTATATTGTATTAAACATTAAGGCAAATATTTTTAAAAACTGCTTTTAGATGAAACCACCCAAAAAGTTTACAGAGTGACAGACTCTGGTACTGCAGCCAAATAACAAAGTCTGTGATCTCTCACCACCCCCAGATGACCTGGCCTTCACAGAGTACCCCCCGGCTGTGGGAAGAGACTGCAGGCACTGCAAGGAGTCGGTGACCGTCAAAGGGCTGTCCTAGGGGGCGGGCTCAGAGCGCTCCATCAGGACCACCGAGTGACTCGGTGCCACCAATCTCTCTTCACATGCCAGTTAGCAGTCCACCCCACCGTGTGTGAACTCTCCAGCCAATTGGTATGACCTAGTGCTTATTAAGATGTGGCCAGGAAGACATCATTGAGGAATAACAAGACATTCTGTGAGGGGAGAAGGTGTGGAGAGGAACGGGGGAAGATGTAGTAGGAAAGGAATGGACAGAGGTCTGAAGACCAAAGGAAGCCACACAGTGAAAAACAGCTTCTGAATAAGCATGTTAACAGAATCCGACTCATATCAGTTTATAGTTTTACTTCTTTGAAGCACATTATTGGGCATAGGAATAGAAATTTTGATTTCATCTGTTCATATTAACTAAATGAATCTGTTTAGAATAGATATGTAAGTAATAAAATATTATGTACTTAAACTGGAACCAGTCCAGTGAGAATTACTAAGATGAGTGAAACCAGCCTTCAGGAAACTCAGCATATTCCACCTGTCCTTTTCATTCTTTCCAGTCACTGAGAAGTTTTCAGTTTTGTGATGGAACTGTCTTCACATACCACTTGCCAGGGGATTTAGGTAACAGGTGAAAGAATGTAAAAATGACAATGTTAATTAAAAAAAAAAAGCTCTGGAAAGTCCATCGACTTTTTAAAAACTATGGAGAGCCTGATTTAAAGTCTCAAGGCAAGAGCATACTTTAAGTTAGGACTTGACAGTGAAAAGGCCTGAATTAACTGCAACTGTATTGGATAGCCTTATTAACAGAATAACTAATCCGGTGTAGGCAGAAGGGACAGCACCGTCAATCCTGAAGCTTCCCGAGTCAGGACTGTAAAGGCAACAAACCAGATGTGTGGAGCTAAGGATGCTGGTGCAGAAGCAGGAAAGCAAGTACCTGGGTTTAGCCTGATAAGGTCATGATCATATCTAAAGAAAGGGTGCCCACATTACCAAGTGGGGACATCTGCATACTCTACAAGCCAGAGTGGCCACGATGGGCAGCCTGTCTACCAGCACCAGGGGCAGGGGGTGCCCAGGCACACACAGTCAGCAGCCTAGCCCTGAGGGCAAGAACACAGTATAATTTTGGAGAACACTTCAAGTTATTATATCCTGATGTCACTGAACATCTGAATCAGGAAAACAACTTCCCTGTTCTAATTCCATGTTTAACAAAAACAATTTGTTTGTGGTTCCCCAAAAATAAAGGGGAGTCAGCGCTCGTTCATCTAACACGAGAAGTCTAGTCTATGTCACAGGTATACTTCTCACTGAAACGAACTCCCCGCATTCTGATTTAGCCTCTTCTGATTTGGGTTAATAAAAACCAAGATATCACCGACTCTCATCATTTCTGAGGACAGATAAAGTCGGGTTTCTATACCGGGAAGTCTTTGCCTGGACCAAGGTAATTTATACCTGGCAAAGCATCGTGGCAGTCAGCAAACTGGCATTCTCCCAATGATACCCTTACTTATCTTGCTTCAAACCTCTTTAAAACTTCATCAGTACTAAATTATAGACAAAAGGAATTTTGCCTCTAACACCCTTCAGCAAATTACCAATTAGTTTAGATCTTCTGTTCAGTGATATGCAAATTTTAAAATGCTGACCTTTCAACAGAGGCATGTTTTAAAAGTGGAAAAGGGGATGCCTCCTGAATTTTATTCAGAACTGGGCAATGGACCACTTCCCCATCCTTCCTGGGTATGTGCACTGTGACCCTCGTTTCACGACCACGACCATGGTCAGCAGGGCTATGAACGAAACAGAGGAGCCTGGCTACTGAACAAAACCGGCTTGTCTCTTTACACGGGCACCCACACACTCGCGACATAAAAGCATCAGGAAACTATTTCTAGAGAACCGTCTGAACCTTTCTCTGGTCATTTGCTCAAGACCAGAGAGTCTACACTTCAGTTTAGTTAGGAACAGAACACTCACGGCATAGGCAAGTGCTCTCTTAATTTTACGATGGCATTCCTTCATGGGACACAAACATCCTGGATCACCACCATCACAGGCCTCCAGGGAGGCCGAGCGAATTCCACCCAGTGTTCTGTAACTCTGTCACAGAACCGCGCCCACCATTAGAAGGGGCGCCATGCTCTACATACTCTGTCAGGAGCAAACATCAGAGCCAAAGGATAAATTAAAAAACAAATCAAACAATAACAAAAATCTGCTATTTTGCTTTCATCTTCTGAGAAGCACACAGCTGCATCCAACTAAAGACAGAGCCAGCCAGCTGGGACAAAATGACTCCACCAGGGTGCAGGGCTGTTACAACCTAAAGGAAGAACACAGGCTACATTTTCCAGTGTTCCAAAATAGATAAACACACCACTCCTTAACCCAAAAAGCTTCTGCAAATGTCCGCACCTATGAGACCTGCAGAATGCACACCACTATGAAGGCTGGCTTTGTAAAATTACAGGCCAGGTGGGAGTGGTAAGCTCTTTTTTTTTTTTTTTTAAATCTCTCTAGGTAGAAGTCTAAAGAAATAACACTGCATTGAGAAGAGTGGGAGAAAGTGGGGTTAAAAATAACAATAAATGTTTCTGATCTTAACTAAATATCTCTGAAACAGTATAAAACAGAATGCTGTGTGGGGACTTCTTTTTTTTAAAACCATATGTCTCTAGATGTAGTGTAATTCATGCAGCTTCAAATCCAGTAGGGAAACAGTAAACAGACCAGTGTATTAAGAAATGCTCCAAAGCAAACTAACATCCACTCCGCTCATCACAATCATCTTTTTCCCTAGTATCCTAGTATGATGTTTGAACACAAGACACCTTTGTGTCGTACTGAAAGCCATTCTCCCGTTTATCCGCCACATCTGATTAGTAAATATTCATAGTTCTCTCTTTTACAGTCCTGGAAACTGTCCCTTCTCTCTGCACTGTGGCAGCTCCAGCTCGTCTTCCCGGCCACTCACTGTCTTCACTACCAAGCACATCCTCGGGCCGTCTTCACCTCAGGCTTCTCTCCGTCAATTTATCTGCACGGCACCAGCGGGCGACTCCTCCTTTCCAACCATTTCATCAGGCCAGTCCCTCTGAAGTCAAGTCTAAATTCCAGTCTGAATTGCAAGGCTCTCAGTAATCCCATCAGTCCCCGTGTGGAGCAGCCTCTCCCCCTCCCCTGTGTCTGGGCTGTCTCTCTCCCCTCAGACCACGGCACCGGGCTTTCCCTCACTCGGCTCGTTCAGCTGCTAGTCTCTTGAAGGCCCACTTCAAGCCCCACTTTCTTCGTGACGTCTTCCTGGCTCTCCTCTCTCTCTCACTGTACTCCCTTCTCCTGGTAACATGATAGAACACTTATGTCCTTAGCACCTCGTTTAATATACTCCATCATACATTACAGACTATAAACTACTCTAAAACTGTTTGCCATTGTTTCCTGTGTTAACGCCACTTCTCTCAATGGAAATCCTGTACTTCCTCAGCTGATACTAGCTAATAAAGAGACGAGCACAAGGCAGGCCCTCTACCTGAGCTCTTGGTTGATTTTTTTCAGGACTAGTCCTGAAACTATCTGTGTCAGCTTTAACGCCATTATCTGTACCAAATGCATGTAAAGATCTGATTGGTGCTTTAAAATAAATTATTCGAAAAAAAATCCTGAATTTAACAATCCAAATGTTGGGAAGGTTTAAAATTAACCAAAAACCTAGAAGAAACCACTCCAACAGCACGTCACTGAACAGCAGGAGTCAAACCATACCCAGGAGAGTCTGAGGGGGGCGCGGGAGGGGACGATCCCGGAGCAAGGGCAGTCTCGGCAAAGGACGTCTCCTCCTGCGGGATTGGGTGGTGTTCAAAGAACTTGGAGACAAACAGCAAACTGTGAGGTAAAAACAAAAACAGAACAAAACAAACCTAACTTGTGCAAAACCCAGAAGCTTCATATACCAGAAGACATTACAGAGTTAACAGAAAAATCTAGGATGAAATTCCATTTTCAGAAACGATTGTTAAAATTCGATTACTTGTATTTTTGGTTAAAGGCTTCTTTTAAAAAAGTATACTGTGCTTTCAAAGGCAAGCTCAGAATCTAAAACTAATTCTTCTATACAACAGAGTTCTAAGTATTAGAGGGGAAAATCATTCTTTATGGTTAACAAATTAGAAGAAAAAGTGTCTACTGCTAAGTTAGAGTACATCACTATAATTTACTGAACTATAGAGTTGAATTCTATTTGCTCAAGTGATTAAGACAAATAGTAAAGACTTTAACAGCAGCAGCAACAACACAGAGAACAATCATAACAGGCTCGGCCTAAATCCACGATAGAAACTTTGGCATAAAGCAGAGAGAAATTTTAGATACACACTGGAAATAAATATTTTATACCTTACTTTTAAATAAACTGGGTGTAGAGGGAGGAGAAAGGAGAGAGAAGGAGAGAGGGAGGCAGTGAGGTAGAGAGAGAAAATAAACATAATTTACAAAAGAGCTGATAGAATCAGACCCCCTAAAATGTGGTCCAAAAATATAATGTTTAACTTAGTTGAAACAATTCTCCCTCTCCTCCAAAAAACAACCTAATGTGATTTCTATGGGTAAGGGGTCTTTACTAATTAAAGGAGAAGATAAAATATAAATTAAATGTATAGCTGAACCAGAATTAGAATCTGGGAGAGAAGAACTGGCTATACTATAGGTTACTCTCTAACCACACTATTTTTTTAAATTTTATTCCCTATAACAACTGTTCCAGATAGAAAACTTCTCAGACTTTAAGACATACTAGTTTCACATTAAGAAAATTTAGATGTAAAATGGTACACAGAAAAGAGATTTGTTTTGATTACTTACTCCAGTTGGTCATAATTAACGCACATCAGTGGAACCTCTGTACTACAGCGCTGGTGAAATTTGTAACCACATGTTTGACAGCGGAAACCTTGGAAAAGGAGCTTTCGACAAAAGTCACAAAATGCCAAGGTGAAAAAAGTTTTCCGTACCTGCAAAGTAAAAAATCACAGTGGATTTCAAAAACTGCAAGAACCTTTTAGAAATCAACGTATTTACTCTCTTATTTAAATAACCAATTTCAATATGCATACACCATGAGAAGTGCCTTACATACTCAGATACTAAAACGAAAACTAGTAGATGAACTAAGTGTGTTTATCTCCTACTCCAACACCCGATTCAAAAACACAGAAGTCAAGAAAATGGGAAGTGGATGAAAGACTGGCGATTGATTTCAAGCCTGACAACAGAAAAGTAAAAGCTGAGCTGACAAAAGGAGAGAACAGAGGTGAATGGAGGGTAAGGGCTAACGAAGGAGAGTCACCTAAGCAATGCTGACTTTTGCTGACCAAGAACCAAAGGTAACAGAAACGCTGGAGGGGGAGGGGAGGGAGAAGGAAGAAGGACTGAGGTGATGCAAATGAGCTAACTCCTATGGAATCAGTAATGGGTAAATCATGTCTAACGTTGATAAAGCAAGACATTGTGGCGTTAGAATATTATTTAGAAAGATGAAAATAATCACCACAAGAGCTTAAAACAGAAACCATTCAAAGTTAAGAGTGGTTTCCTCTGGAGAGCAGCACTAGAAGCTAGCAAGTGACAGGGCAGTGGGTTACTTTCCTTTATAGGCCCTCTGCCCCTATTTTAAAAACCATATACATGTACTACCTGGATAAAAATGCAAAAACAATTATTTCGAAAAGACTAAAACTAGTATGTAATCATGAAAATCAGAATAAGTCTTCCTAATCTCACTAACTAGGACAAAAAAACCAAAACAAACCTGTTGCCATCGAGTCAATTCAGACTCATAGCAACCCTATAGGGCAGGGCAGAACTGCCCCACAGAGTTTCCAAGGAGCGCCTGGTGGATTCAAACTGCCAACCTTCTGGTTAGCAAACACAGCTCTTAACCACACCACCACCAGGGTTTCTGAGTAGGATAAGGGGCTCCCTAAAAGAAAATAACAAGTACTTCTAATCCATTTGTTAGAGAATTAGAACTTTCAGGCAACCTACAATTATTTGTGAGCCTTTCTCTATTCAGAAACTTAAGGGCAACGTGTTAAGAACTCCATGTCAAAAAGGCAAATGGTATCCCTACCTGGGCCACATAAACATACCTGTGCTAGAGAGACTCTACCTTGATAACTACCAAAGCCAGAAATGGTTTAAAAAGTGTTTGTTTGGGGTACATAATAAACAGAAAACATAAGAAGGATAAACAAATAGCAAAAGGTTAACAATGGCTATTTCAGAGCGGTGAGAGCATGGGTAACTTCTAATTCTTTTTTTGTTCTTTGCTGTATACTCTGAATTCATCTCAGTTCCTCAAACAGTTTTGACCACAAACAACGGTAAGAAATATATTTTACGTATGCCCCAGTACATACTTGTATTCATATAACAATACTAACTCTGACTATACATGGTATACATTAGAATTTTCTGTTCTATTACATTTAAAATGGTTTTCAGGATCCATTAAGTTGACTTCAACACCCATAGTTTATCAAACTCTATTTTCAATAAATATGGAATAAAAAAGTATTTCAAAAGTTATTTAAAAAAGAATGTCTCATCAAGAAAATGATATCCTGGTCAAAAATCCATTCTGGCTTTTTAAGAAAATTTCGATAGTTTTAAAATGACTCGTTTTATATTTTTTTCTATGTATTTTGTGTCCCCCCCACCCCCAACGCCCCAATAGCTCACTTTTTTTTTTCAGGCAATTGCCTTTTCTAGCTCTGCCCGTTTTCCATTTGTCTCTCTATATAATCTCTTTAATATCATTTTTACTTTAGCAGTGGCATCTTTTATACTGCCAGCATAAGAAATGCTAGCAGAATATCAGAAACTAGTGCACAGAAAAACATGTTTTCACAGCATCCGCATTTTGTAGGCATCTGAACCTCTTTGCTAGCCACTCATATTACTGGCCCTCAATTTCTCTTCCTTCATTATTCTGCTCAATTGTGGTCTTCCTGTCATTGACTTATATTCCCAAACTATGTATTTCTGGGGAAAGTCCAAGTCTTTAACGTGGCTCACCAGGCCGTTCATGAGCTGGACTCTTTCCACCCTTAGTTCTTGCTGCACTGTAACGTCCTTTCCCCAACCTTGTGCCATCCCTTCTCCACTTCGTTCAAAACTTCGAAGGCAACATGCTTTCCTTCTGTTCCCTCTGCCTAGAGTACGCTTCCCTTCAGTCTTTACTCGCTACTTACTACTCATCCATCGGGCCTTAGCTGAGATGCTTCTTCCTTTGGGAACCTTCCTGACTCTTCAAAGGCCAGGTCAGAAGTCTCTACTCTGTGTGCCTATACTACTTCATACATACACAATAATTAAGAGTGCTTCCAGAGATTTCTTCTTAAACTATCTGTCTCTCTATTCTTAAGCAAGGATCTGGTTGTTCTTATTTGTTGTTATATCCCCTGTCAGACACAGTGTGGGCAAATTAGAGGTGCTCAATACAGATGTACTGGCAGGTCTCAAATTGTGTTGAGGATTTCCACACTCTGGAACTCATCGGAAGTTAGGGTTATCTCTCCTCTTTTGGAGAGGAGCTTCCGAGGCACTTTTACCACTATTTTCTCATGCTTCCCAACTTGGATCTTCTTTCCCCCCCTCATATCCAATTTTTAGCTAAGAACAGTCACTAAGAAAAAGAGTGTATCCCCATGAAATGTAGGCTCAACTGTTCTGGGATTCTTAAAAACTTAAGATAAAAATCCTAAAAGATTTACCCACTCAAAATTCTACAAGTTTAAAAAAAAATCAATACTAATGAACTTCCTAGCTCAACATTATAAAACCATGTGCTACACACTAAATTTGATTGATGTTAAGTGTATCTTACACTCAACCTAAGATGCCTTATTTATTGAAACACAAACCTGATCTCAGTATTCACCACTAACGGAGACCCCGAAGCACAGACACCTCCCCGCAAGAAAATCAACTCCTCAATCCTCTGCTTTAAGTGTCCAGTGGGACTAACCAAAAGGCACGTGGGAAGATAGGTGAAGCTGAAAGGGGAGCAATAACTATCCCTCTAGAAAAGGATAAACTATGGTCAAAATGCCATATACATAGAATAGTAAGAAATACACTCCTGCGTTACAGAGCACTCTACTTCTGGTTTCTGCCTACCCTTTGGAGAACAGGCTCTTGAGTTGCGGGAACTGTATCCATCCCTCTAAGGTGGAAAGGCCCCCCTTTCCAGGCCTCATGCTGGTGACACTTAGCTTATGCTAGAGTCTAGCAAATACAAAAACCAGATAAAGGAAGAGTTTAATACTCAGCTATTGCACAGTGTGTCAAGATGTCTACATAACAATTCCTTTTAGCCCTGTACGCAAAAGAGTAAAACCACTACTTAAATGTCTATTAATTGAGGGATGGTTAAATAGACCAAATTCCCATTCTTATGGACTAATATGAAATCATTACAAAAATAAAGCTAGATTATACTGACATGGAAAGAGATTCATGATGTATTGCTGAATTAAAACAAAACAGATGAAGAATATCATACTGAGCATGACTCTGTTCTTGGTTTAAGGAAGGGAAAAAAAATGGAATGAAATGAAGGGGAAGGGGGTGGGGGAAACAAAAGAAAAAGGAGAAAACTTCTGGTTTACAGGTACAAGCACACATGTGTGCGTGTATCTAGAAAAAAGTTTGGAAGACTACAGAATAATCTATTAACAAATTTACCTCTAGGAGGGTATTTTCACTTTACATACTTTTGTACCATTCCAATTTCCTTTTAATAATGACATGCATTGCTTTTTAAAATTAAAAAGATAGTATAACAATTAAAATAAAACTTCACAGTTTAAATACAAGTTTTTAAAGAAGAGAACTGATTTTCAACTTTGGTAAAATGTCAATTCCAAAATTATTCACTGATCTTTCATGTTCATGAATAAGAATTCCTTCATGAGAACGTGAACATTTTAAAGGTACATACAAAGTTGTGTGTTGTGAGTGGAACATTCTCCAACACTTCTACATGTAACTCCTCGCCAGTGAGCCAGGAAATATCAGTGTCCCAGCCAATTGGTTTCTTCTCTCTGAAAAGCGTAGACACAGACCTTTCTTGGTTAGCAGACCTAGAACTCTTCATGAACCTCATGCTGAAGATATGAAGACTGGTTATTGAGGGGCTAGTAATAGTGAGGGAGGTTTGGCTCCCTGGTGCTCCATCGTTAGAAATTTAAATGGCAATAAATTAATTTTTAAGTTTACCCCAAATAAATGTATCACTCTTGGACAAACAGCAGGGTAAAGAGATGTACTCTTTTCTTCAAGTCAGCTCCAGAAAAGACCTACAACAGCAGAAAATGGATTGTTCCTGGGGTCCCAAAAAAAAAAAAAAAAATCACAAGTATGGACTTATCTATTCGTTCAAAGAAAAAGAGTACTTGAGGGACAGCTTGCCCCAAAAAGGATTTTTTGTTTTAGGGATTCAAAATCTGGGGGCTTTGGCACAATGTTAGATACTTCTTAAAAGAAAAACAGTTCAGTATAAAATGTTAATTTTTGTAAGCCTTTTGTGAAACTATGAGATTGTATTAAAAATGGGGGGGGGGTCCCTCATCCAGATAAGTCACATTTCATATGGCTCAAAAATCGTAAGAACTTCAAACTCCAAATAAAGTCATTTCGTCAGAGTAATAAGCACCATAGTCACACAAAATTATTTGATGTTAACTCCTCAAAGGCTCTACAAGATTTATTTAGGTTAACTTAATATTTAATATTTTTCTCTAAAGTTGATTTTCAATCCCCTAGGTTTGGGTAAAGACCCTACAGAAGACCCCAAGGTTTGACGTCTGTGGTTTTTTCCCTTTTTTTAAATCTAAAATTTCACATCACATCCAAACCATACCCATCCTGAATTCTGTAAACAGCACAGCACTCTGGGATCAGACCTCTCATCATAAGTGCTTTCTTCAGACTGTCCCGGACGGTGACACCACATCTTGCAGGCACCTATGGTGTCATAAATACACGGTATGAGACAAAGGTAATCAATTATATTTTTTACACATCATTAAAACAAAAACAAAAAAACTCAACGATTTACCTTCACAATATCACACCTTTAAAATGTCATGTGGATTACTGTATCAGATACAGCATCATTTCTAGAGCTAACTTAACATTAAAGGGAAATTATGAACCAAGTATCTATTACTCACCAACTTGAATCAAAGCAAAATTTTTATTTAGTCTTTTACTGAAATTATATTTCAAACATTTAAAAAGAATAGAAAAATAGAACATACTCCTATGTACCTACCACTGAGAAACAACAGAGTCCAACATTTAAAGCAAAATCCATTTTGATCCCACATTGCTGACAGCTGAGAAATGTATTATCTTTCGATCACACTGAGGGTCCTTAGGGACTTCTTACTGATTCTCACCATGGCAGGAAGAAAACACCTATCTTGGTGTGTGCAAGTGATACTGGTTTAGCTGCCTAGCACCCCATTTCTCTGGGAGCCTGGCCTTCCCTGAAATCCATGTGGTACGAGAGAGGTATAGCCGACCTAAGCTGGCTAATCAGTTTTTTGAATCCCTGGCAACAGTAACTGGTCCAAGGCGGTGGAAAGACAGGTAAAAGAAAGAATTTTTCTCTGTAAGTTATCCCAGTCTCTGGCCTTCTCCTACCCCGTCCAAGGCCCATGTGACGAATATGTAAGTAAAACTTCTGACAGAACAGTGTGCACTACAGTGAGACAGTGTGAGGGCAGGTGCACAGTTTTTACTGGGGGTGTGTGTCTGTGTGTGCAGTTAATAACAATAAAATTAAATGTTCCACTCTTAAATCACTAAAGTACTTGGCAAACTAAAAGTTTCCAAATAAACTGGGACTCTTAGGCTAGAGGGGAAAAACGGAGCCACAGAAACTGCTAAATATAAATAGTATTTTGAAAAGGGAACAATTAAGAAAACTACGCTAGGACCTATGGTTAGAAGTAACAGAAGGCAGATTTTAGCTCAATGTAACCATTAAAACTATCCAGCAACGGACAAGTTTGTTATGAGGGAGTAGGCTCATCACTGGAAATATTCAAAAAGAGACTGGACTGGTACCCTCCAGAAAATAATGAACTGAAGGAAAAGCTCACTCCTTCCCTTTGCCACTCATCTTCTGCCTACACGAATGCAAAGACTTCCTGATTGGTGATCCTATCTTTAGTTTAAATCCCACTCAATCTCCCCTATCCCATGTTATCATAGAAATCTTTCTGAAGAAGGCATTCCTAACTGTGTGTGAGTTTCAGAGGGTCATGGACCCTGAAGCCCGTCTGTGGACTGCTGAGGAGCTCAGACTTAGAACCCCATCCTAAAATACAATCTTATACAGACTCCTTTAAATTTTCCATTATTTATAGGATAAAATTCAAATTTCATAATAAGGCATACAAAGCCATCAATGTTTACCCCTCCGCCTCTTTGGACATTTCCCTCATGCACTCCAATAATGCCATTCTTAAGTATGGCTACCTCCCTATTCTCCTCTGCACACACTGATGCCAAGGGGTGTGCATGTTTCATCAACAGGCAGGAATGTGATTTCCCACTCTACCAACAAGGCAAAGTCATTAACCTGTCCTTCCTCACCCACTCCAGTAGGCTGAATTTTTGTACTATTTGCTCCTTCATGATAGTCTGTGCAATAGATGGACAGACCAATGGGACAGAATAGAAAGACCAAACAGACCTTAACATATAAATGAAATTAGGATACGGTAAAGGCAGCATCTGAAATAGGGTAAGATGAACTTCTTAACAACTGATTTTGGGACAACTGAAATCAATATAGAAAAAAAAAGTTCATACACGCTTCATACTGTACATCAGGACAAACTACAAATGGATCATAGATGTAAACAGTGAAAGAAAGAAGGAAAGAAAGCGAGGAGAGAGGAAAGGAAGGAAGGGACCAATCATAGAAGCGCTAGAGAAAACCTGGGCAAGGTTCTTTATAACCTTCAAGAGAAAAAGGCCATTAGTGACGATGCAAAATCTGGAAGCCATAAAAGGAAATTATTAAATTCAACTACTTTTAAAAAAACACAGAACTCTTTCGTATGGCAAAACAAACAAACACACTATAGGCAAAGTCAAAAGACAAACGCAAACTGCACATATAATCTTCTTGATATATAAAGAGCCCCTGACAAAGTGAGATCAAGACTAACCATCCAACAGAAAAATGGGCAAAGGACATGAAAGACAGTTTAGAAACATAAATGGCCTTCAAACATATGACAAGGTATTCAACCTCATTCAGAGAAAAGCAAACTCAAACCTGCCAAGATATTTTCAGTCATCAGATTGGCAAAAAACCCAAAGTGTGCCAATATACTCTATTGATGAGGCTATGCGTAAGCGGGCATTTCATACACTGCTGGTTGTTGCTGGGTGCCGTCAAGTTGATGCCGACTCATAGTGACCCTGTGTAACAGAGGAGAAATGCCCTCTAGTTTCTAGGCTGTAATCTTTATGGAAGCAGATCGCCAAGTCTTTCTCCTGTGGAGCCACTGGGTAATATAGCAAAATTAAGCGAGGCCTATGAACGGAAATTTGGCACTATCTATCAGGGTTACAAATGTAAATCTCCCTTTGATCTGGGCAAGCCTACTTCTGGAAATTTCCCTCACAGATATACCTGTAATACATACGAATAACATACGTGCAATGTTAGTCACTACAGTACTGACTGCACAGCAAAGTCTGGGTATAACTGGAGGGCCTACAGATACAGCACTGGTTAAATAAACCATGGTTCATCCATACAACGGAAATGCAGCTATAAAAAAGAATATGTAAGTTCTCCATGTATGGAAATGGAAAATTTCCAGGATGCTTTACATAAGCGTTAAAAGCAAATAACAGAACCATACGTACAGCATGATGCCTTCTGTATGAAAGGCAGTATGAAGACGAGCAGGGAAGTAAGGACATATATTTCTATTTGCTTATATCTAAACAAACACTGAAAGTATGGAAGGAAGGAAGGAAGCAAAGACAGACAGATGGAGAAAAGAAAACAAAAAACTCTGTAAGTGTAGTTACTTAAAAGGGGCAGGGGAGATTGGATGTACAGGGGCAGGGACAGGGGAGACTGGATGTACAGGGGCAGGGACAGGGGAGACTGGATGTACAGGGGCAGGGACAGGGGAGACTGGATGTACAGGGGCAGGGACGGGGAGACTGGATGTACAGGGGCAGGGACAGGGGAGATTGGATGTGCAGGGGTAGGGGAGATTGGCTGTACAGGGGCAGGGACAGGGGAGATTGGATGTACAGGCGCAGGGGTAGGGGAGATTGGACGTACAGGGGCAGGGGTAGGGGAGATTGGATGTACAGGGGCAGGAGTAGGAACAAGATTTCTTGAAGTCATTACCACGTCAAAGTACTACCTATTCAAAAAGAAAAAAGGGGCGGGGGGAGTTGTCTGATATTTTAAGGCTGGGAAGACTAAAAAGATATATTCAAAAGAACCAGGTCTATAACACTCCTCCAAACCCCCAAATTAAATGTCCTTGATGAGGCTGTCAAAGCAGCAAGAATTTTTCTTTCAAAGAAGAAAAAAACAAGCAGCCTACGTTTGAACAAAGAAAAGAGCTACAGTCAATGGAATCATCTGAATGTTTGCCAAAGGGAAATTCAGACCAAAACAAAATGCATCAGTCCAAACTTTCACACATCAGTTCTCAAAGTGAATTAAAAATCATCTTTTATTGTGGGTTCATGATGGTTCATTACAGTAGTGTACTTCTATGTATGTTTAAAATCTTCAACAAAAAGTTTTTGAAATCTGTAAAGAAGTCCTTCTAAAGTTCAGGTGGCCATCAAAATTGTTATATGTTTAATTATCTGAACTGGTAGATTAATTTGGTAGTTTAAAATGTTTACAGTGCAGACTTTATTATGTGCTTTAAGTGCTCATGACACAGAAGTACTCCTGAGACCTCCTTGTACCAACTGGCACAGAATATACATGCTGATACACGGAATTTGAGCATAAATTTAAACTGATAGCTTCCTGATCATTTATCTTGATGTCACGTCCTTGTTCAGGATTGTTACACTGATCGTAATGTTGTTTCCAAGGAAAAATGTGATATGATCTACTTACAACACAGTCTTTAATATTAAAGTAAAAAGAAGAGGCTACTTATACCAAATACACACACACACACACATAAGGTAAAAGCAATTTTAGAATTAAGTATGAGTCCTGGTCAAGTTGAAATTCAACTAGCAAAGAATCAGTGACCACAGGATTTGTGATAACTGGTCCGTCTTTTATGCTAAATTGCTGATCCTAAAAAAAAAAAAAAAAAATCAAAAGTAATCAATTACCTCATTAGTCCCCCAAGGGAGAAAAAATACTTACCTAGCAACCAATAAAGAAGCCCTTTCGTTGCTGCCAAAAGTTAACAATAGAACTCAGGAGTCATGAACGTCCTGGGCTCCACAGCTACTTTATTAAAATTAAACACAGTCATTTCAGTACTAACATGAGCTGATACTGTTCTCCACCGGACTTTACCTCACAAAGTTGCCGTAAAGCACAAAGCAGAGGATGTAAGAGTGTTTTCACAAATTGTAAACCATATGCAAAAAACACTATTCTTCCTGTCTACAAAGACATCACTTGAAGAGCTTAGGTTTCTGCTTTGCTGCTGCTAAAAATAAAGGGGGAGGAGGGTATTACCTGGGATTCTATCATAGACTGTAATCTAAAGATGTTCCTTTAGTCTCAACCTATTCTGTTAACACTATGTATCTGCACTAGTAACAGAGTTAAAATTTCTGGTATTAGCTGTTTACATGTTTCTTCCCCCTCAACCGACTAAAACAACAACGTAGCTTCTCCTTAGTCCTTCCATTTCATAAGCATTTCTGGCTTAATTACAACCAGGGCATGACTTTAAAGCATCCTTGTCCTTCCTTTCATTTATCTTATGTACGATCAACAGACATTTGTTTATAAACCTCAGACTACGGTAAGCCCAAAGACTCATTCTTTCAAAACCACAGAACATCGAAAGGTTAAGCACTTCTCTAGATGATCTCACAGACCTTCCATCCTGCAGACACTAAAATTAATTCAGAAGTTTTAGATACTTTTCAGATCTGAGTTCTTTTCAACCTTTGAACCAAATGTATATAACCCATGCCCCAGGAATTCCACTTCTGGGCTTGTAACTTATGTACGTAAGTACAAAGAGTACTGTATAAGGATGTTCATTTCAGCACTGTTTGTAAAAACAAACAAACAAACAAGACCATCAGCAAGGGAATGGATAATAAATGGTGGTATATTCAGAAGTCAGAATACTGGATAGTAGTTAAACTGAATGAACTAGATTTGTATGTATCAACATATACATACATATACCTTAAAATTATAATTTTGAATAAAAAAGACAAGATGCTGAGCATTACATACAGTTTATCATACTACTTTACAAATGAAAAAACAAAAATACTGGCTGTTATTACAGATACACACAGCTGGAGAGGGAGTATAACAGTGTTTCTCCTTTAATCTGCTAATTGGAATGGGATTGATTTTCTAAAAATTACTGCTACATTCCTGGGATAATTATTACTCTTTTAATATATATAGTACTGGATTCAGTATGCCGATATTTTATTAAGAACTTCTGAAAATATGTCCACAAATGAAATTAACCTTTAATTTTCTGTCATCAAATAATCTTTGTCTGGTTTTAGAACCAAGATATACAAACTCATGAACTGGGGTAGGAAGTGTTCTCTCTTACTTTTCTAAGAAACTGTAAAACTCGTGTATGACTAGAAATCTATGTTCCTTAAATGTCTTGTAGAATTTGCACCTGTAAAACTAGACATGAATATTCACAGGTTATTTCTTTAATAGACACAGGCCTATTCAAGTTTTCTGTTTGTTTCTGATTCAGTATGGAAATACTTTTCCAGTCAATAACCTACTTAAAGTTTCCTAATTTCTTTCTATATAAAGTTGTTCATTGTACTCAATTTTAACAAATCTCTACTGTATGGCAGCAATGGCATCTTTATCATTTCTTCCATTACTTCCATTTTCTCTTTATTTCTTTTTCATTCTTGCTAGATTGAAGTCTTTTCAAATAGTCATCATTTATTCTGCTGGTAACTATTGTAATTTTGTTTTCTATTTCAGTTTTTTCCTCTTTTTCACATTCTTTTAATTGATGCTGTTATACTTTTTCTAACTTTTTAAGTTAAGACACTTAACTCATTACTTTTCAGTTTTTATTTTATAATATATAAGCTTTTACAGCTATAAATTTCCTTTCAGCACTGCTTTATCTGTATCCCACAAGTTTTGTTATGTAATATTTTTGTTATTTATGCAGTTCTAAATATTCTCTACTTTCTATTAGAATTCTTCTCTGATGCATGAGTTATTTATAAGTGTCTTCAAATTTCCAAAATTGTGGTTTTCTATTATCCTACCCATTCTGTCTGCTTGATGTATCACTTACTGGAATGAGTGTGCTGAAATCTCCCACTAGGAAAGTGTCCATAAGCAGCCTCAGCAGCTACTCTTTTTTTTTGTCATTGCCAATTATCTATCACACAACTTTTGCCAATTCAACAGTGATGGAAAAATCACACTGATTAAGGGTAGGGTTGCACAGCTGATTACTGTAATTGCTGTCAGTAAGTTGTACACCTGTAAAAAGTTGAATTATTATTGAGTTTTGAGAGTTCTTTACATTTTCTGGATACATGTCCTTATCAGGTATGTGCTTTGCAAAGAGTATCTCCCTATCTGTGGCTTATCTTTTTCTTTCTCTTACCACCGTCTTCTGAAGACCAGAAGTTTTTAATTTTGATGAAGTCCAATTCATCAATTTGTTCATTATGGACCGTGCTTCTTGTGTCACGTCTAAGAAATCTTTGCCACACGCCAGGTCACAAAGGTTTTCTTCTATAAGCTTTATAGTTTTAGGTTCAGTTCTTACTTCTCATTCCTTCCTTCTGTGCTCAATTTTCTTCCTAAAGTAAACCTTTTTAGGTAGTTCCTTCAACCAGAACTTGTGAAAGGTAAACTCCTCGTCTGGAAAGGCCTTTATTCTGCCTTCACTCACAGTTGAGCTAGCCAGCTAAACTCAGAGCTTAGCTGAGATTTACAAACATCTCTCGGCACTTTGAGTATATTGTTCTATTGTCTTCTGGCTTCTGCAGCCACTATGGAGGAATTTTTGGTAATCTAACTGTAATTCTTTTGATAATTTTTTTTCCTAGATGCTTTCAGAACAATCTTCTTTCATTTTATTATGTCCAGTAAGTGTGGATTCAAATTTATGTATGCAACTGAAGGCCTGTGCTTCCAGAATCTTTAGACTCAAATCTTTCACAAATGTTAGCCACCATTTCTTCAAGTTTTGCCTCTACTCCTTTCTTTTCTTATCTCTGGAACTTCTTTTAGGTATACAATGAACCTGCTCATCCTACTCTTCTTGCCTCTTAGCCTTTCTTTTATATTTTCCACATCTCACTTTCCTTGCTTTCCAGAGTTCACTAATTCTCCCCTCAGTTGGGTTTCATCTACTTTTTTTACTTCATCCATTGAGTTCTTAAAAATAAACAGTAATATACTGGAACTAGCTTGGCATGTTGAGATTTTATTTAAAGTGTTATCTTACTACTTCCTCAATCAGTATCAGTACGTTCGTTAGTATTTTTGTTTCTAGTGACAACTGTTTCCTTTGAACTTTCTATTTTTCCTTATTCTATGTTGTCTGAATTTTCCAATTCTATTATGAAATTCAAACACACAGAAAATTTGAAGAAATGGTACAATGAACATCCAAATTCTCTCTACTCAGATTCTAAAATTCGTATTATTTTTCTATATTTGCTTTCTCTCTCCATTTTGTTTTCTGTCATACCATTTGAAAGTAAGTTCCACATTAATTTATTGTGACAGAAGTCAGAATGGTAGTTACTCTGGAGGGTGGGGAGTGAGCAGGAGAGGGCACAGCAGAACCCCTGCAAGTGCTAGTAGATGTGCACACTTTACTGTTCGTAAGCTACAGCTAAAAAAAAGGAAAAAGTCACGTGCATCCTAACACTTTACCCCTAAATACTTAAGCATGTAGTTCTTAAGGACATTCTCCTAAATAATCACATTACCATTATCGCACTTAAGAAAATTAACAATTCTATAATAATATCTGATATTCAATCTGTATTTAAAAACTCCCAAGTCCCAAGAATGCCATCTATAGCTCTTCCCCATCCCTTTCAGATCTGAGTTCTAATTAACCTTTCTGGGGCAATATTTGGAAAGGATACTGTGTAGTAATTCCCTATCTTAAAACAGGGAAAATAATTTTAATTTCATTCTGCTCTAGAAAGACAAGGAGGAAAACTGAATTTTGTAAATAAATATACTAATAACTTTAATAACCCTCTATAATTCTGCATCACGAATAATCAAGAGTCTATTTTATTACAACCAACTCTTGACTGTTCATGGAAGAAAGGGCAGAAGAGTATCAGTAAATATCTCCTTGATAACGAACACCTACTTAACACAGATTTCCTAAGTAACATCAAAACTACAGGCTTATGGTTGGCAACTTCATTAATTTTCCAGTCTAATTCTCTCATGCAGTAATCCTTAACTTTTGGGAGTATGACGCCTTTATAATAAATTTTATTTTTAAGGCAAAAAAGAATTTTTGGAACCCTGAATGACAGCAGTTACATTTTTAATTTCTGTAGTTGAGAAAAAAGTTAAAAATGACTTTGATTTCAGTTGTATGGGTAAATGAATTTTTTTATTGATATCAAAAGCAACTGTATATATTTAAAAAGTAACGATGCATACTGACACATTATTTATTAAGTCAACTGACAATACTTGTTACACCTGAGGATTACAGATCATCCATGGTAGTCTTTTCTAATGGTGGAATTAATGATCAACAACCAAAAGTTATGTAGACAGAGGAAATAAATACCAAGCATACAGAAAATTCAACATTTGATAATAAATCACAATAGGTATTTCTGAAGGCTAAAGAATGAATCTTATCTGACATGCAACAGACAATAAAGAAGCTTAAGTCTTAAACTGATTCTGAATTAGTACTCAGACTTTGTATGGTTCAAGTTTGGTAGATAGATTCAAATGTCAAATCAGATAATAAAGACAGTAGGTGTGTTCCAGGAATATAGGCACCAAATAACTGTGTCTTTTTCATTCTTGTTGGAAATGAATGCTTCTGTCTGTATAACTTCTGAGTATAAGTGATAATATACCTCATTTTCAAAAACTATTCTTTCTTTAAAAAAAAAAAAGAAAGGAACAGCAAAATGATCATGTTAAAAGTTGACTCACCACTGTTCTCTGTTTGTTGGGCAGGAAGACTCTAACAATAGGTTTTTGCGGTGACTTGGGGTTGGTCCGTGAGACATCTGTGGGATTTTGAAAAACTGAAAGAGATGAAGGCAGCACTGAAAGGCTAGAAGAGGAAGAAGATGTAACGGTGTCCGTTGATGCAGAGCTAGAAACAGAAAACTCAGCTCCATCCCCCAGGGACTCCAATAACTGTTGTTCTCTTTGTTGGAGGGAATCCAGCTTGCTGGTGTACTCTTCATAGGCCTACGAAACAAAGCAGACTTACATTGGATCTGGGCTCTGTCCCCACAGCAGCAAAAAGAAATATGAAGTTTTAAGTTTTTGATTATAACCTCTTTATAATCTAGCTAACAGAGTGTCAAGTTACAAGTTACAAAATAAGTGCAGGAGATACTATATACGAATACTTTTACCTTTAAATCAATAAATCTTTTGTTATAAAATACCACATGACATTGAAAAACTGACATACATACATATATTCAAATCGCAACTGACCTCCCAAACCACATGCCTAAAATAAGATAAAATGCTATACTACGTCAAAGTGGCCCCGTTCCCATTAAAATTGTATTTTATTTGTTTTTTTTTTTTGAAAAGATGTAAGCATACAAGGTTTCCTACTACACACATAAACACTACACACTTGAAGATAAATATTAGAAAAAGGAGAATGTGAACAAGAGCTGGGATGTTCGAGTGAGATTTGTCAAAAAACAAGACTCAGGTACACAGTGCCAGATCTCATCATTACCACCAAAATCTCCTTAACAGGGCTTAGAAGATGTGTCGCTGCCATCTTATTTCTGAAATAGCTGTCAGTTAAAATACTTCATTGTTCTCACTATGGGTCTCTGATGACCTCCTTCCCTTCAGATACAATACTTGGAGAATACAATTTTATTTGAGAAGTGGCTCACACCTTGTAGTCAAGAAATTCTGGGGCCATTATCCACCAGGGTATCATTCCAGAAGTTCCAGCTCACTGAGACCATGGAGTTAAATGACCATACATGAGATCAGATTCTAAAAGGAAGAAGAATCTTGAGCAGAGTGATATGGAAAATGAAGAGATGGGATGAACTGGAACATTCACGTCCATGGTTCATTCAGTCAATGGTAATCTGATCGCTCACACCATGGTCCCCTATTTCTCCCCAGCATCCCAACTAAATGCAATACTAGAAACATTTATGAAAGCCTACAAAGGAGAACCAGGGAGGAAGGGAGCTTATTATCAGGCCGTGGAGAAGCAGGTGGATGCGTTTTTATTTGTGTAACTGCTATATATGAGCAATAAACAAAGAACCTTTTTGATACAAGGTGAGGATGAAGAAAGGAGGAAGGTCTTGGAAGGCTGGCATTTAGACAATGGAGGACGTGGGCAGGAGAGCCCTGTGTGTAGGAGAAATTCTATGACAAAGTGAAGAAGGCGAGACAACTCAATATATGGAGGAGTAACTACAGACTGGCATAGCTGGATCTCATACACAGCAGGAAAATCAATGAATGTCTGTGGAATTTAAATGAAGAATAGGTACACAATAAATACTAAGACTGGAAAGGTGGGAAGGGGCCAGGCCTGTAGCGAGTGAGCATGCCATGCTCTGAAGTCTGAACTTCACTCTCCAGGCAAGAGAATCATCAAAGGCAGAGGACACTGAAAGGGAAATTTCACTTTCATAAAGGCCCTGGAGCCTGCTATGCTAGGTCTTACCATGAAATTTTGCGGGGGGTTGGGGGGGACAGGTAGGGAAAAGAGCAAAATGAGCTATTGAGCTAAGGGATCAAAATCACATCAAAATGCCCTCTCTTTCTTTACAACCTACTAGTTGCCTTGCTTGACCCAGAAATGTTTCACAGCAGATCAGGGTTTTATAAACAAATCAAGTCAAAATTTCCTCAGCTGTATTTCTATTTAGCTTTCCATTTCACGGGCCAATTACTTAAGAGAGCTTTTTCAACCAGATCCATTTACTGAGCCTTCAATCATTCCGTAAATATGTGTTGAGCATACGTATGTCTGGCACTGCTTGGGGCTCAGAACACAAAAATAAATCAGACCAACACAATCCTACCCCTTGGAGATTACAGACATGCAGCTTGGCACACAAAGGCTCCTTCTTGGATAGATCAAACCTTACCTACTTACTGTCATCCAAGCATGTCCATTTTCTACACAAAGTTAGCCCTGGGAAAAGCTATGAATGAAAACAACACATCTTCCAAATGCCATTTCCTTATCAAAACGTTAGGCTTAAGTTTTGAAAAGATACAGTTCCCTCCATTATGGATTACAAACTATTATTTCACCATGTTTATCAATAGCTCTTCCTTTTCTTAAGTACAAACATCTGCTTACTCCACCGCCCTCCATCCTCACAAATGTAATCTACCAAGGAACTGGCCTACCTGGTTTGTACTGGGCTTGGCCCAGTATCCTCGCTGCATTTAACGTGGATGCTGACTACACTTTTATCACTCCCGCCTCATAGTTATCGAAACCTGTCATCTCATCTTTAAGACCCAGAGACAGCCACCTCTCCCTTCTTTGCAAAAAGTTCCAAGAGAAGATCAGATTGCAATTTGGAACCTCCCACACCCTGCACTCACACACTTCGCCCACCTTCTTAAACTTCCATCTCACTCCCACATTAATCTGCTCACGGTCAGCACTGACCCCTCAACCAGTTTCTCGTACATGAGACTTTGCTGTCTTCCTACCCATACTCTGTGGCTCACCAGCTCAAAAACGCCACTGGTAGCATCTTAGATTCCCTAGCTAATACTTGTTCCTTCACCAACTAGCTTGCCCAATCCCAACTGAGGGTAAGCCCTTATTCCATTCTTTCTCTCTGGTTACCACATATTGCTGGGAAAAAAATAATAACAGGAGGACAACTGGTGCCATTGCCAATTCGTGAAACTAAGCCTTGCCTAGACCTTCATAGTACTGTCTGTTTAATATGACTTACTTTTAGCATTATATCGCATTCTTCACACTGCTTATTGCAAACCTGTCCTATTCTTCTCTGGTTCCTACCTTCATTCCCCAACAACCTTTAATTCACTCTGAAAATAGTTATTATCTTCAAATTTATTCTGAAGATCAAAGTCATCAAACAAAAGCTTCCCCTACACTTCTGTATCTAACCAGTTCCTCACATCCTTCCCCATCCCTCTTCCACTCTCAATACAGTGCTAGCACCGGGTGTTTAGGCCTCTTCCATGGTGGCTGGGTCCATTGTTATCCCCATTTTCTCTTTTATCTTCCAACTTTTCCTTTCCCTGTTTTTGTACCAAACAAATGTGATCAAGTCACTCCTACATGAGTGGACACCACCACCACCACCACCATCAACAACAATGAAATTCCTTTGGCCCTTCAAGATGGTGCAGATACCAGATACCACTTCTTCAGGAGGCAATTTTTGCAAAACCTCATCTCCTCTTGTCCAAATCTTGCTGTTTTTTCAGTCTAATTCTAAGCTCTGCTTGTTAAAATCCAAGGGGGTATCCTTTATCTTTACCTCCTTTAGAGCATGCATCATACTCTTCTTTACATGGCTCAATTTTATCATCTGTGAAATAATTTCACAACGATTAAGTAAGACAATTATTTCAGAGCCTAGCGAAACCCAATAAATACTTTTATTAGTAGTATTTAATAGGAGTAGTGACAGAAGTAGTACTAGTAATTCTTGTTGTGATTATTATTGTTATTATTTAGCTGAGTTCTTGACTCTCTTAAACTATAAACTAGTTGAGGACACATATCATAACTTCCTTATTGTTGAGTTTGAAGCTACAGTAATCAAGCTAGTGTGGTACTGCCATAAGGACAGATATATAGAACAGTGAAGTAGAATTGAGAGTCCAGAAATAAACCCTTCCACTTATGGTCAACTGATTTTCAACAATGGTGCCAAGATAATTCAATGGGAAAAGGACAGTCTTTTCAACAAACGGCGCTGCAGCAACTGGATATCCACATGCAAAAAATGAAGCTGGACTCCTACCTAACACCACATAGAAAAATTAACTCAAAATGGATCATACACCTAAATGTAAGAGTTAAAACTATACAGCTCTTAGAAGAAACACAGGAGTAAATCTTCAAATCCTTGGATTTGGCAATGGTTTCTTAGATACGACACCAAAAGCACAAGCAACCAATGAAAAAATAGACAAACTGGACTTCATCAAATTAAAATATTGGTGCTTCAAAGGACATTATAAAAAAACTGAAAAAAGACAACTCACAGAATAGAAGAAAATATTTGCAAATCATACTTTGGAAAAGGTCTAGAATCTAGAATATATAAAGAACTCTAACAACTCAATAATAAAAGAACAAATAGTTCACTTTAAATCCTGAACCGAAACTATCTCCTGAAGTCATTTTTTCACTAAATGGTAGCTCATAAAGTAAAGAATATCACCCTTGAGTACTGTGGTTTTTTAAAAAATCATCTATATGAGACCAAATGGTCAACAATTACTTTAAAGCACAGATGAGAAGGCTGGAGTGGGGGGCAGTGAGACTAGGTTAACGGGAATGGAGCAACTGGAATGGAGATAATGAAAAGGTTGACACAATGTGAAGAATGTAACCGTCATTGAACAATATGTGTAGAAACTGTTGAATGGGAACCTATTTTGCTGTGTACAGTTTCACCAAAAATAAAAGTTATATATACACACACACATAAACAAATAATGAAATCTTTAAAAAAAAAAAAAAAAGAGCAAATAGCCCAATTAAAACATGGGCAAAGGATTTCAACAGATATTTCTCCAAAGAAGATATATAAATGGCTAATATGCACATTAAAAAGATGCTCAACATCTTTAATCATCAGGAAAATGCAAACCAAAATCACAGTGAGATACCACTTTACACCTACTAGGAAGGCTATAATAAAAAAGACAGACAACAACAAGTGTTAGGATGGATATGGAGAAACTGGAACCCTCGTACATTGTGGTCAGAATGTAAAATGGTACAGTCACTTTGAAGAAGTTTGGCAGTTCCTCAAAAAGTTGAAACATAAAGTTACTATATGATCCAGCAATTCCATTTCTAGACATATAACCAAGAGAACTGAAAACGTATCTCTATACAAAATCTTATATACGAATATTCATAGCAACATCGTTCATAACAGACAAATGATTCAACGGACAGCTCAAAAGTCCATCCATTGATGAATGGATACACAAAATGTGACCTATCCATACAATGGCATATTATCCTGCTACATAAAGAAATGAGGTGTTGACATATGCTACAACTTAGATGAACCTTGAAAGAAATGAAAGAAGTCAGTCACAAAAGGCCACATATTATATGATTCCATTTATATGAAATGTCCAGAATAGGCAAATCCACAGAGACAGAAAGATTAGTGGTTGCCAGAGGTTGGAGAGAATGACTGCTAATGGCTCTGCGGTTTCTTTTTGGGGTGATGAAAATGTTCTGGAATTAGATAGTGGTGATGGTTGTGTAACTCTGAATGTACTGTACCAAAACCCACTAATTTGTACACTTTTAAAAAGTAGATTTTATAGTATGTGAATTATTTCTCAAAAAATGGGACTAAAAAGGTAAGGATGTATTTAATTTAAATACATAGGAAAAATTAGTGAAATAAAAATTTATTTCTCATCATTATAGTTCATTAAGTTTATTCTTACTGATCACAAGATAAAAAGAAACCTTACATATTTCTTGTAAGTGCTATTTAATGGACTGTTCTGCATCCCACAGGAAGCAACTAGCTTCCAGAAATCCTTTCATTACAGTATCTGTTTTGATGAAATGCCTCTGCAGTACCCTGAGCCCTATATGGACTAAAAATCAGGACGCTGTCAGCATCGTAAGGAGGGTACAGCAATTAGGAGCACAGGCTCTAAATTCAGAATGTGTAGCTTCACATCTTCATTATACCACTTACTAGTTGCTTATTCAATTGTGTAACTAGTTGTGTAACAGGTTATTAAACTCCTCTGTGCCTCAGTTCCTTCACTTAGAAGAGAGAAATAAAAATAATAAGTATAGCTCACAGGGTGGGCTGAGGATTAAATGAGCTACTGTATGCTTAAAATAGAGCCTGGTACACAGCAAGCACTCAATAATGTCAGGAATTATTATTATCCTCATTAGTCTGCAGGGGACCCTAGCACACAACCATAAACTCTGAGGTAGCCAGGACTCAATGCCATATTAGATATGCAGAATGATTCCATAAAACACCATCCCTTCCCATCTGGGCTCCAACATATCAGGTCCTAAAGGCATTCAACTATGTGTTGGATGAATGAATACAGAAAAACTGAGAGAAAAAGAAGAATCTCTGGAAAATGACTTTTCAGAGCAAATTAATCTTTCTTCCTTTGGATAATGACGGGGAGAAAAAGGAACCAAAGATTGAGGAGACAAATTTAAAATTCCTTATTTAGATTACTATAGCTTGTTTCACCATAATTACCATCAACAGAATCTAATAATCACTAATTGATTATTCATCTGTTGGTAGGAGAAAATCTAGAGCAACTTAAAAGCTTTCTATTAAAATAATGAGAAAAAGAAAATGGAGAGGATTTCTGATGGTGATATAACTGATTTCTCTGCCTTGCTATAAGGAAGAGATGAAGCAGGGAGAGATAAAGACTTTTCTTCCTATGGAAACATCAAAGGGGTTTCTGCTGAAATGCTATGAAATGAAATAACTATTGCACAACTTCTACTTGCCAGTGTACAAACTGATCTGAAGCAAAACTGTGAACTCTGGAAAAGTGACTTTTTAGCCTCTTATTTCAGGAAAGGTAAGCATGGTCAATGGTCTAGGGTGTATGTGACCCCATTCTGGTCAATGAGGTGTAAAGGAAAGACTTCTAGGGGCTTTGGTGGGGGGAAGATTTTCCTCCTTGGTAAGAGCTGGGAACACAAAAGAACCTCTCTGGTGCCCGCCTCCTGCTTTGAGGCACTGGGTGAGGGCGCGCTCCTCAAGACAGAAAAGCCCAAAGGACTGCAGAGACCCACCCAGTGTCTGACAACTTTGAGCTGCAGAATCAGCCTTAGAATAACTAACCTCCATGCTTCTTGTTACGTGAACCCGCTGCTATAGAGTTGATTCCGACTCATAGCGACCCTACTGGACAGAGCAGAACTGCCTCACAGGGTTTCCAAGGAGCGGCTGGTGGATTTGAACTGCTGACCTTTTGGTAAGCAGCCGAACACTTAACCACCATGCCACCGGGACTCCACCTGTTTTTGCAACTTGTTATTGGATGTTTCTATTTTGTATAGTCAAAAGCATTTGTAATTTTTACAGAAATCCTGGATTTACCCTCTAATTTTTCTCATCTTTTATATTTTCCAACTGTTTTTATTCTGCTTTCTGGAAGATTTCTCAACTTTATCTTCCAACGTTTGTTTATTGATTCACTCACACACATACGTACATACATGTAAGTATACACATATACCTATATATATTTTAAATTCCTGCTTTAGTATTTTTAATTTCCAAAAGCTCTTTCTTGTTCTCTGTCGCTTTCCGCTTTTTCAGTACAGCCATGAGACAAGAGCAGGCGCTCTATTTTCTTTTAACTTCAAGGTTAATTATAGTTATTTTCAAGTTTTCTTCTGGGCTCTGCACTGTTTCTGAGTTCCTTCTGACTAGCTCTGCTTTTGTCTTTCTTGTTAAAAGCTTTCCTCAAATATCTGGTTATCCTTAGCCGTCCATTCATGTATCAAAGTTAAGGACTCTTGAAAGCCCACGGAACGGTGGGTCTGAGGGGTGATCAGGAGGGACTTGGCTTTTCACCAAAGGGCCTGCAGCTAGCAGTGCCTAGAGGTCTGTTCTCTTGGGCTGGTCCATTTTCCCTGGGGAAGAATCCTGTCGTCCCCAGTCAAGCTCCCCCTCAGTGCAATGTTTTAACTTGTTCATACGTTTAACGTCTGTCATTCCCCTCCCCTTCCCCCTACGAGAACAGAAGCTGCTTGAAGGCAGAGATTTTTGTCTGTTTTGTTTACTGTTATATCCCCAGGGCCTAGAACAGTGCCACTGTCAGCAGGCACTCAACAAATATCTGTTGAATGAATGAATGATGATTTATGGAACACTTACTATGTATCAGGAACTATGCTATTTCATAAATATAAACTCAAGCCTTCAATGACCATGTGTGTGGTATCATTTTACCAATGAGTTGAGGTATAGGAAGGTTAGGTGGCCTGTCTGTGGAAACCAAGGCAGAGCTGGGGTTCAAGCACAGGGTCTGCGTGACTCCACAGTTCAGCTTAACCCCTATACTATACCACCCTCTGCAGAATCTCCTGCTTCACCACATGCTAATCATGTAACCTGTGAGGTATGAGCTGCCGTGTACTGTCCTAGTTTGACTGTTTTGAATAGTTGGTTCAATTTTGGACGTCTAATTTGAAAAGGAACTGACCAAATATATCTAGTAAAAGGCCTACAAATCATGCCACTAAGAATGGCTGAAGGAATTAGAAAGATTTAGCCTGAATGAGAAGAGCTGTTTGGGAGTGAGGTGGGAGAAGCAATGGCACGATAAACGTGTAACAGAGTAGTGATCACGAGCATAGACTTCTGAGTTAGATATATGCATTTTCCCCCTTACTAGCCGTGCAACCTTGGGCAAGTTACTTAACCTCTGTTTCTTCACCAGTAAAACAAAGATAACAAAAATACCTAGTATCTAGCTCAGAGGTAATTGTTAAGGATTAAATTAAATAATAAATGCATTTAATACTGTGCCAGGTACAGAATAAGCTCAAAGGTTTGTTGTTGCTGTTCTCTGAATGTTGTTGCTTTTAATGTCCATCAGTCCTCAGACAGCACAAAGCCTGAAGTGTGTGTGTGGAGGGCAGTGAATCACTCCTAGAGTAAGCCATGGTTACTGATGCAAATGTCTTCCATCTGAGGATGGGGAAGTCTCCCAAGACTCAGAAAATGTTGGCAGAAAAATGCCTGGTTATTCTGTCTCATTCTGCCTAACAAAGAATTACTATTTTCACTAGAAGTGTTAGTCTCTGTGTGAATCCTCTGCTTGCCCTCCTGAAACATATGAGTAAAAGGAGACAGTACAGGATATTACAAAGTACTCTAACTAGTACTCACAGATAGGCATTCTAATCCTAGCAATGATATTAACTGGCAGTGTGATCTGGGATAAGCCATATGAAGGAGAGGAGAAAGAACAGAACCGTTTATTAGCTGTTACTTCCAAATTTCCAAGTTTCCTTTAGCAAGACAAACTTACATTCTCATGAAATGAGATTTAATCTGCCTTTTCAGGAATAATGAGGTTACTAATTCAGAAACGTAGGAGCCTGTCAATCTCTGCCGAAGAATCTCTCGCAAGTGGTCACCTGATCATTCGTAACTGAGAGGGATCTCCCTGTGTGACCCGCAATTACACTGACACCAGCTTTCACAGAGAAAGGTTGTGGAGGGGAGTGCTGAGCAGTGTGGGCTGCAGAGCCTGACCGCCTGGATTCCTAAACAGCTTGCGAGCGGTGGAGCCTCGAGTGACTTACATAAGGAAACTCATGCCAAGAAAGTTTCTCTGTGATTACAATAGTAACTACCTCATAGGATTAAGAACAATGACTAACCCTACAAATTCACAATCATGCTCAAAGCTTGATACAATCCTCAAGGCACTATTAAACAGTAGAGCTAAGCAATGCTGGGCTATTTAAAGATTGCAAATTTTACCCATAAAGAAGCAGAAACCAATTCTGGGGGGACTTGTTCTGGAAAAAAGAGGTTTTACAACATCCCCTCCATTTGCAACACGGTAACTAGTTTGCTGACCTTCCAAATACGCTCTCTCTTTTAAAATCTTTTTTTTTTTTCAATCCGGAGTAACATTTTGAAGTTTATATAAAGACTTCCCCCTTTGTTTTATTTGACATTTCCCAAATTACAAAAGTAATACATGTTTATTGTAACAAGTGAAACAAAACAATACGACGAAGTATAATAATGGCAAAGCTAATTCTCTCTCCTTATCTATTTCTAATCCCATCCTCTAAAATAACCAAGATAACCCAAATTATTAGTACAAATGCTTTTAATAAATTCACTTTTTTTTCTTTTCAAAATTACTATAGAGATGGTCTTCAAAAGCTCACCTCCAGGTATATTGACGGTGGATTGTGCTCCCCACCAAACTTGTCCAATAGGGCCTCTATGTGTTCCTGTGTCAACTTGATCATCTGTTTGATATTCCACACCTAGAAAATATTTGAAAAGAATTTAAATAAAATCACTTAGGATGTGAATTACAAGTGTTCTAATGTCGCAACTACACTGCAGTAACTGCCAGTGTCCTTAGAGCACAGAGACCTCAGAGATCATTTCCTAGTACAGTGGTTTTCCCTCCAATTATTAAACACTTTGAGGCTTGTTTCTACACTAGTAGAATACAATATATTTTCAACTATAAAGGGTTCAAATAATGCATGAATATTCAAAATAAACCATGAAAATCTCTTTCACCTTCCCCACATTTCCAGGTCCACTGCTGTTTATGGTTTGGTGTGCATCCATCCATTTCTCCTTTTTACTCATGTAAAAAGCATAAATACATCCATATATAAAATACACAAGTATACGTAAGTGTTTTATAGATATATAAAACATTTTAACACTTGCTTTCTTCATTGAATATGCTTTAGTGTTCTTTCCATATATATTATACATATACATATATATATTAACTCCTTTTTAATGGTGATATAAGAATTCATATGGATATGTACTGCTTATTTCAAAAGTCTTCAAAGTGCAGTGGTAACCAGGGATGAGGTGGGCATGGATAATTTTAAGAGAATCAAGTTCCAGGTCCTCTATCTGAACTCTTCCTAACTGATCTGCTTCAGAACCAGTTCTCCTTTCCTACCTCCCCTCTCAAAATCACCATTCTCCACTGTTATGGATTGAATTGTGTCCCCGAAAATGTCTGTCTACTTGGCTAGGCCATGATTCCCAGTATTGTGTGATTGTCCACCATTCTGTCATCTGATGTGGTTTTCCTATGTGTTGTAAATCCTATCTCTATGATGTTGATGAGATGGGATTAGCGGCAGTTATATTACTGAGGCAGGACTCAGTCTACAAGATTGGATTGTGTCTTGAGCCAATCTCTTTTGAGATATAAAAGAGAAGCAAGCAGAAACAGGGGGACCTCATACTACCAAGAAAGCAGCACTGAGAGCAGAGCGCATCCTTTAGACCCGGGGTTCCTGCGTGGAGAAGCTCCTAGTCCAGGGGAAGACTGATGAGAAGAACCTTCCTCCAGAGCCAACAGACAGAGAAAGCTTTCCCCTGGAGCTGATGCCCTGAATTTGGACTTGTAGCCTACTAGACTGTAAGAGAATAAGCTTTTGTTGGTAGAAACCATCCCCTTGCAGTATTTCTGTTATAGCAGTACTAGATGCCTAAGACATCCATGTTATTAAAAAAAAAAAAAAGCAAAGCTCTTATCCATTTCAAATCCTACTGTTCTGAGATGTATAAACTCCAAGGCACCTAACAAATAGACAATTAAGAGAAGAGGGGAACTCCCTTAAGAGAAAAAGAAAATTTAAGGGCAGGGTCTTATTTTATCAATAAAACAAATTCTTGACAAGGCTCCAATCCTTATCCAGACAGCCTAGAATTCAGAAGTCTAGTGGTTGTTACAGAGGTACATGTTAACATGTTTATTTGAAGGTAAATATGAAGTCAGATTTTTTTTTTCTTGATGAAAAATGAATCCAATTTATCTGACTGGTTTGACAGTCCACCCTTTTCTCCATAATCTCATCAACAATGGGTATTATGAAACTTTTAAACTTTTGTCAATCTGAAGGGTGATCTTGTTGTTTTAATTTGTATTTTCCAAAAGGTTAATAAGCATTTTTCATGTTTATCAGCATTTGAGTTTCCTTTCTGAAAATTCTTTCTTTCCATATTCTTTTTCCCTTTTATTTTACTGAGTTATTTGCATTTTCTTATTGATTTATATATACTCTTTATATATTCTGGATATTAATCCTCATTCTCCTACAAATGTTAGTCTTTTGTTTTTACTTTGTTTCTTTTGTTGTATACAGTCTTGCTACTCCAAGTGTGGTCCCCAGACCAGCAGCATCAGCATCTCTGAACGCTTGTTAGAAAGGCAGAATCACAGGCCCCATCTCAGACCTACTGTTTCAGAAACTGCACTTTACACCAAAATCCCATGCTGATTCATATGCACATTAAAGTTTGCAAAACAATGACAGAGGTTATTAGTTTTTCTACAATTAAATATTTCAGTACTCTCCTTTATGATTCCTTTGCTGATCTCTCATATCCCCCCAAAATGTTAGATGTCTGCTTTTCTCTAGCCACACTCACTCCCTGGGTGATTTCATCCTATCTTGTGGATTTACATGACTGATGAAGCCCAAATTTTTAAATCCAGCTCTGCCCTCTCCTCTCAACTTCAGATTCCTTTTTTCCAACTGCCTATGCAACATCTCGGAGCCCTGGTAGTACAGTGGTTAAGAGCTATGGCTGCTAACCAAAAGACTGGCAGTTCAAACCCACCAGCTGCTCCTTGGGAACCCTACAGGGCAGTTCTACTCTGTCAAATAGAGTCACTATGAGATGAGTCAGAATCAAATCAGCTGCAACGGGTTTGTTTTTTTTTTGTTTATTCAACATCTCTATGCAGATAACTAATAGGCATTTTAAACCTAACATGCTCAAAAACTAACTTCCGATTTTTTCCTCCCCTCAAGAGAACCTGTTTCTCCTCCAATATCTTCACCTCAGAAAATGACAAACTCCATTCTTTAAGCTGCTCGAACCAAAAACTTTAGCATAATTCTTGACTCTCTTTTTCTCACACTTGACCTCTGATACATCTCCAAATAAAAATATATGCGGAAGCAGACCACTACTTACCTTCTGGACCATCATTACCCTTGTTTATTCTAAGAGTCTCTGAAGTGGTTGCTTCTGTTTCACAACTAGAATGGCCTAGTCACCAGAGTGATCTTTTAAAAATATAACTTCAGATCACATGTCATTATTCTGTTGAAAACCCCCCAATGGTGCCCCATGAAAAAAATCACCAAGGTCCTCCAACAATCTATAAGGCTTTACATGACCCCACCTTCTGCTGTCTATCCTCACCTCTTAGTATTTTCCCTGTCACTCACTCGTCTCCAATCACACTTGGTCTCAGTGATCTTCCCAACATAGGATCTCTAACTCAGTATTCCTTCTGCCTGGAACGCCCTTCCCCTAGATCTCTACAAGGTTAGCCATCTTATAATCTTCATTCATGTCTTTAATGTCACCTTATCAATGAGGTATTCTCTGACCATTCCAAGGCAACCACTCGTCCTCCCAAGCATACAGAGTCGGTTTCTCTGCCTTCCTAACTTCATTTTCTGCACAGTACAAATGATCACGTTATTAGGTATTTTACTTGTTTATTTTGTTAATTACGCATGTCTTCCCCACTCCCCAGTAGAATATAAAGTCTAGGAGGGCAGGGATTTTGTCTGTTTTGTTTCCACTCAATATTTGCTGGGGAAAAAATGAATGCCTTCTTCAGATCACCCCCATATGATACTTCATCCGTGATGACCGCACTGACACCCAGGCAGAACTGCTTTATAAGTTAGATATTCTTTAGTTAATTACGCTTTTCATGCCTAATGGCTACTTGGAGATCAGAAACAGAACTAATTCATCTTTCTGTCCTCTCATCACTTATCTTGGTGCCATAATCATAACAGGTATCCAATCCATGCTAGAAATGAGATTTAAGCTGTCTTCGGAATATGATGAGAGGAAAAAAAGTTTAATCCTAGTTCGGTAATTCTGTCCTTTGGCCAGTAAATTAAGAACTCTATTACCCAGAGCCTCCTTTTTTTTTTAAGCTGCTTAGATAAAAGTCATGTGCCATTAGGACACAGAACCACTCCCCCAAGAGGTGAAAGAGAGAAAGGGGGCAAAATGATTAGTATGGTGGAATGAGCGTGGGGCAATGAGGAGACTGAGCTGATCAGAATGAAAGTTTCTTGTTGGGGAATAAATACGTAAGACCGGTTAGGTAGGGCAGGGCCAGACCATGAGTGTCTGGAAGTGAGGTTCCTATTTTCCCAAACAAAAATTATTTGACATCCAGAGAATGAAGAAAAACCACAATGAGCCATAGTTGGAATTAGAGAAGGAAAGGCAGGGAGAGAAAATTCTTTCAAATTCCCCCAGAAGAGTAAGAGAAAGAACTTTGATGATACTGCTAAAATACAGACATATTAAGAAACAGAATAAGATGCTGTAAAGAGAATGGCAGATACATAGCTCTGGCCTTAAAATACCTTCTTGGAAAACAGGAAAATCTGTTACAATAACCTTAAAAAGGAAATGAAAGAATCAAAAACAAAAACCTTCAAGAAAGGTACTAGAAGATTTCCTGTCCTGTTTCAATGTCTTTAGTAGACCACAGCAATTCAAACCAGGCAATCTTAGTAAACAACTGATCATGTCTAGTGACTTTACAAGAAGTCCTTGGGTGATGCAAATGGTTAAGTACTGGACTACTAACCAAAACGCTGGTGGCTGAAACCCATCCAGTACCTTGGAAGTAAGGCCTGATGATCTGCTTCTGAAAGGAGACAGCCTTGAAAACCCTATGGAGTATTCTACGCAAGCAGTCACCATGGCTCAGAATTGACTCGACGGCGACTAACAGCAAATAACAGGTGACTTTACAACGGCAAAATTCCCTCTCCAAAAAAAGATAAGAGAATTCAAAAAAAAAAAAGTCTTGATCAAAAGCTGCCTATGTTAAAATATAAATGCAGGCTGACCACTCTGGAGGGAACAGAAGAGCAGCTATGACACAAGAAAACCACAGCCACTGGTCCCCTCTTTCCAATAAAAAAAGGCTCCAGGCTCAGATTGGTTTCTATCATATCTTTAAAGAATATATATTATCAATAATTACATATTATCAATAATTAATAGGTGATAGTGCATTAAAGGGGCCCTGGTGGCTCAGTGGTTAAGCGTGTGGCTGCTAACCAAAAGGTTGGCAGTTTGAATCTACCAGCCGCTCCTTATGGGACAGTTCCACTCTGTCCTACAGGGTCGCTATGAGTAGGAATTGACTTGACAGCAACGGGTTTTGGTTTGTTGTTGTTGTTAGATGCTGCCAAGTCGGTTCCCACTCATAGTGACCCTATGTACA